ACGTGGTCCAATCTCTCTGCTCAAGCAGGGTCATCCCAGAGCGTATTACACAGGATCGTGTCCACACAGTTCCTGARTATCTTCAGTGAGGGGGACTACACAACCTCTCTGAACAATCTGTTCCAGTGCATGGTCACTTGCACAGTGACAAAGAAGTTCTTCATCCTATTCARGCGGAACTTCCTTTGCATTAGTTTCTGCCCCTTGCCCCTTGTCTTGTATTTATTATACAGATACACTGTTTGCTTTAATAGAGTCTCTATAAGACAGGCATGTAGGAGGTTAAAAGCTRTAGCTGGGAGCTCTGAAGATAATCATACAGCTAATGCTTGCCACACAATCAGGAAGCAGAAACAGCTCAGTTTTGTGTGAAGGGAGGTACAACAGGTGGGTGGAAGAGCACACACACTGGAAATGCTGAGAAACCAGCAGTATGAACAAAAAATCCCATGCCAAACGCAATAGCTTCCACAGATCTCAGTTACTGCTCAGGCTGTACATTATTTCACTGTGCAGGACCCTGTTAACATATACAACCTGAGGGTCTCACATGAATCTCAATGTATTCTGTGTGCCAGCACAGCAGACAGGCTTTGTTGCATTGGTGGTGTCTGACTGGATTTGGGGAGAAGTGTTCTGAGGTCTCACTATTGCAAGTTTCCAGCATGGTCAGCCAGGTTTCTTTCAGGACCACCTGAAGAACAGTAAGTCACCCACAGCTTTTGCATGCCCCTGCTCTGTTTCCAAGCTCAAACAGCTGCTCAAGTAACCCTTCTGGCTGAGGTCTTAAAAAAAGGCTTTAAGCTAAGGTAAATGCTGTAGGGAAGCCCTTTATATTGGGTGCCCTTATACAGAGGGATAAGAAGGGGAAGGCAAAGGCACAGTTACAGAACTGACATGATTTCACTTGCTTGCTTAATAGCAGCTCAGTGTCTCCTTTCCATCTAAACGCTTCTCTATTCAAAGAAATGATTACCTGGCTCGATACCACGCTTGCATCTCTCAGTGACTGCTGGTTCGTTGTTTGTGAAGATGTGATTTGCCCTTGAAGTTGAGGACTGGGGACAAGCTGCTGCTGAGAAATGGCCCCTGACCTCTGCTGTAGCTGTTGTGGGTCCAGCTGCTGAGTATTGCTAAAGCTCAGGGATACTGTTGGCTGCTGTAAGAACATCTGGAAAAGAAGAGGGGAAGGTTTATTTACATAGCCCAGCTGTCTTGAAGATGAAGGTGACAGAGGAAGTCCAAAGACATATTCTAAAATAGTTATCACATTTCTGGATTCATAATACATTTACTGTTAGCTGAAAATCACCTATTATTCCTACATTAAAAGCTCTGCTATCGCGCGTTTCTTGGTTTCTTGTGATACAATTGCACCCATTTCTTTGAAATGTGTCTTGAAGGTACAAGTCCTCTCTCGATGGGGCAGGCACAGCCCTTGTAAGGGCAGTTCGCAGCACACTCACTATGTTCTGGGGCATCCTGACCAACGACAAGAGAGTAACTCCATGTCTTTTCAGTCCTTTTGTTTCTATTTTCAACGAAATCCACCTGCCTTTCAGACAGAGCTGTCTTTGAATTTGTCTCTGGAAATTCAACACTTTACACCCAGCTGAGTCGTTGAATGTTTTTAATGAGGTCACAGTCAGGCCAGAGCTCTCCAAGCTGAACGGCCCTGTCCTTATCATTGAGAGGATGTGTAAACTAGACAGTCACTGTCATTTATCTGATTTCCCATCAGGTAACTGTCACCTGGTGTTCTTCCTAAGTGTGCCATGCATTTGACTTGTGCAAAAGAGCTAGCAGCTCCTCTCTTACTGTTTCTTAAATTTTGCATTTAAGATGAGGCTTTCTTCTTTAAAAGTTATAGGACTTGGGAATTTTTGCTTTTCTAGGGGCTATTTCTTTTATTATGGCTGTGAAGAGGGAAAAGTAATCTTTTAAAAYTATGCATTATTAATGCTACAAGTCCTCTTTGCAGTATTTCAAACCTAGCCTCCTGCCACCAAGGACTGTATGGAGATAAACATCCCACGCAGCTRAAGTAATTTTTGGATCTGATTCCACACCACTGCTACATGTGTGGAACTCCATTAATTTAAGTGGAGCTACTTAAGTTTTAAATGAAATCAGAATCACAATTATTCTCATCATTATGCATCCATCAGTCTCATGTCTAGCAGTACGTCTGAGGTACACCCAGTAATTAATACACCTTTTTGCAGCTTATTGCTGTATTAACAATTCCCTAAACGATCATGTCCCCTCTAATTTTTCCTGGAAAAAGCCCATACCTTTCTCCAAAGGCCCAGCACAATGTATTGCTTTTCTTTGCAAAAGCATGGCTTGATCCATCATGTTTGTACTTATTTATCTAGCTTTTAAAACATAGTTTATTTAAATACGATAAATTTTTAATGAATTCCTGTGTGCCAAGATTTTACTCAGGAAAAAAGGTACAGATGAAGCTTATATTAATCAGCTGGGAGAGGGGGGCAATTAAGGAAAAGCAACAGCTTGTTTCAGGTGCTGWAGGCTAACCACATCTCAGAGATGTCTGATAGGAATAAATGGGTCAAGTGACAGAGTTGGGGCTGCTGCTTGCAGCAAGTCTGAAACTAGCTTCAAGTGTTTTCTTTAAAAAACACTTCTCACTGAGTTTGAAGCCATTACATATCAGAAAGACAGATGGTCTTGCAACTTCTGCCAAGTAAATAGGTCTTATTATGAATAAATCAAAGAGAAAAATCATGAAAATTAATTTTCTTGTTTATTTTCTGTACATAGAAGCTAAGCTTTGGACATGTTTAGTACATGAAATCACTTGATTAGCTCCACCAATAAAACTGGTTACCACTGATACAAAATTTGATATAAAATTCAGAACAGGTAAACCAAGTAGTGCAGGTCAAAAATGTGATTGGGAGTGTGAGCCCACTGGTACTGGACAGATCACTGCAAATTAAGACCTTTAGGTGGATTTGCTTAGTGTCCTCCCTGTACATGGTGCAGGGCATTGGAGACACAGTTCACCCAATGCAAAATAAAATCTATCAAGGCAGATGTCAGGGTGTGAACTTGCAGCAAACTTCTTAGCGGGGACCTCCCTGTGTGCTTACGTCAGTTCCAAATGAAGGCCAAGGAGCTTATCTTTGAAAGAAAGCAGAATAACCTACTTTGCAATTACCAGAGTGTACCACTTCATAGTTAATGGCTGGCAGCTAACACACTATAAAATTACAACCAAGTTTACACCAGCAGGCAAATTTCARTTGTTCATGTGTCTGTACCCTGAGAGGACTCTAAGTGTTTCATACCTGGGGACCCTCTGTTGCCATTATAATAGCCAAAGCAGCATTGTCACTCTCTGGACATAAATGACCTGGAAAAAACGAGCTCCGAGCAGGAAGCAATGGTGCCTGTGTCCCTGCAGAACTGAAGACTGAAGATGYCTTTTCAAAACAAGCATTAACCTGACAGACGACTGAAGTGTGGAACTTCCACCTGCTAGTTAAACCTAGAAGCTCAATTTGTACAAAACTTAATGGTGGTTTTTCATAATGTGCCTCTTTTGTGATAGTCCTGTCTGAATTCCCCTGAAACACTGAAATACAGCAGCTTTAAATAACAAGAGAAACCTTTTAATAAAAATGAAATCTTTCCCTGTCTAAGTAGATAAATTAGCAGCCTCCTAACTGTATTGCTTCTAATGACATGTCTCGTTGGTGATTTTGTGGACTGCAAGGTCAGTGAAGCATCTTACAAATATATTTTAATTGGCCAGATTGTTAACACACACAGCAAAGCAGCRAGGGAGAGGAGGGACCCTCTGACACTGCTGCCCCCTCATTCCAAGATAGATGGGTCCTACAGCTAATGGCTGAATCACACTGACAAGACATCCTGAGGAAAACATTTCTTTGACTCTACCTATCCTCTGGATAATCAGGGGATTATAACTTTTGGATTCATCATTACAGGCATCAAGACTCTTTCTTTATGTAAAATATGGAAAGATGAGAAGCACTGGGAAGCTGAGATTCACTGATTTCGAAGAGAGCCAGCTTTGAAAATGATGGGTGGCTGTGGATGGTCTTGATTGTAGTTCTTGCAAGCTGGTCAGGCTCAGCCTTTCTGCCTTCCTCTGCATCTGTGAATCATTAGCTAGACCGTCCAAACTGGAGCAGACACAGCATCCTTCAGACTTCTGAGGTTRCTCTTGCTGCTCTTGTGCTTCATTGTCAGGAAAAGCAGTAACAGRGATTTAATGGGGTTTTGAACACTTTTATTCAGGGCCTGCAACCCTCCCGATAGTTTCATCTTTCTGTGCACAAGGCCCTTGCAAACAGTTTCTAATGTAGACTACTGTGCTCTGTCTGCCTGGGAAAGCATTTCTCAGTGGACTGTCATACTCAGTTTTGAAGGTCTGTGAAGGAAATGGAAATCAAGCTTAATTCTCCATGGAGCTACCTGTACACTTCAGTGTGGAAGGGAGTGAACCAGTGGGGATAATATGCTAATAAATCAGCTAATAAGGGAAAAGCAGGGAACACTTCCCCCTTTTCAGACAGCCTGTGTCACTCCCCCATGCTTACAGCTTTCTTACACAGTGTATTAGAGACACCACAAATGTGCTTGATAGTAGCCTGTTTGTTACTCTGCTTTGTAGTTTTGATAGTAGACACAGATCAATATCTGCAGACATMCAGCTCCCTGAGTGATGAAATCTGTGCAGCAAAGCACATGTTGGATTTCTGATTGAACAGTTTACTCCTTGCTTCTTGTGAGTCACGAAAGAGCTGTATGGAAAAGTGTGAGGCTTTCTTTCAAATTGCCCTTAGCCAAGTAAGAAAAAATTAACTCCWGGTTTCAATCTATCCCTACAACAGCAATTTCTTCGTGTGCTTTTTTTTACCTAGAGAAAGTGAGAGAAAAAAGAGGCCCTGGCCAGGATTCAGTGTGACTACTTGCATCTCATCACTTTGTTTGATTGTTCTGAGGAGAGCAAAAAGCACCCAAAATACAGAGGATGTATTTTCCATCCAGCATTGCTGGATGATCTCCATCCAGCATTGCCCCTTCAGGCAAATATACAGCCCCTGCATTTCCAAGCTGCCTTCCATTCTCTCTGCCTCTCAGTTGTGCATCTGCAGTAAGGTGAGAAAGAGTAGATACTGACACCTGCTGTAGTCTTCATGGGAGAGGGCATCACCCAAATGGTGTARCTCAGAGCTGCAAATTGGTGAGGGGTGGGCAGTACAGAACAATCCACCATTTAACCCTCTGGGCCTCTGCTCCTCTCTGCCTGAGCTCCCTCTGAGCATATCTGAGAATCTGTCTCATGGCCTATGGGCTGTTAAATGCTCCCTAGTGYGTATAGGAAACAGCATTCTAAAAAATAAAATCTGCTTCCTTCATATAAGAATGTGCTCTGAAATTCTATTTTTGCCTGAATGATGAAAAAACAGAGTGTGTATGACTATTGAAGACTTCATGAGGAGAGAGTAATGGTTGTCATCCAATTAAAATGAGAGGAAGTGATAACATCATGTCTCTTGATATTCATACTAACAATAAAAGCTTTCAGACACATGACATGATTCTGAACTGAACACCTATTAATTGCAGAGAGACTTTCTCTTCCCAGTATTTAAAGTCAGCAGAGAGCCAAYAGAAGAAAAACACTGAAGCTAAACCTGCTCTCCCTGTATGATAATATGGCACCAGGAACAGAGTCCTGGGTTTGGAACCCACAGCTGCTGTGCTGTCTTATAGCAGTGTACATGCAGCAACTTAGATGGCAAAGTTTCTAATTTGGCTTCGCTGATCCCTTAATTGCCGAAACATACAATCCAATTTGTTAATATGTGAAACTGCATTTCACAGATGCTGATGATGAGTGAGAAACTATTTCTCTGTGGAAGTCACAAGCAAAATTCCCACTGAYTTCAGTAGGTCCCRTGTTTTCATCCTGTGCTTAAAATACTCTGGGCTGTTTGTTTCCTTGACAGAGCTTGTCTTCTAAAATAATCTTGTTAGTATAATACTCACAAAGTCCCCAGTGCAACATTTCTAGCAAGGATCATTTAACCTGGCATTTATAGGCATCTACTCAACTGCACTTGCTATTATTTCTGAGGTTTGGTAGACATACGGGGTACAAAGCATATACTGTATTAAGAGAATTCCACCTCTGTGTGCCAGATACCTCTCAGGTGTGAACAAATGAATATCAGCAGAAATTCGGGGGTTTTAATGTGACAAGWCTGAACTTGAACATTTTTTTCTACCATAGCTGCTAAGACTGAAGACTTGGTAGATAAATAAAGTGCTATGGTAAATGATCCAAAYCACTGTCCTCCTCCCAAGGCTAAGGCATTCCTTCCTTCTCCCAGAGAGCTCTTAAATCTTGACATAGATTACTGAAGAGGCTTTTAGAGGGCAACATACTCATTCAGATGAGCTGGTTTCTACTTGTCCAGATATCCTGGRCTCTGGAGCAATTCTAAATTGCCAAGCCTATCAGCAGCCACATGAGAGAGGATGCTTGACTCTGCCTTCCAGAGTAACACACCTGTACACTGGAGTCTTGGACCAGGCAGAGCTGCTCCTGTATCTTCTGGAGCTCCTCCTGCTGCCACCGGATGTTGGCCTGCAGGATCCGTGTCCGCTGCTCTAGCTGGTCCTTGATGGTCTGGAACATGCTGAACTGTGCCGAGAACTGGGGGGATAAAAAAAGAGAGGGGGGAAATCAGTTATTATAATACAAACAGGCCTCAGTAGAACATTGTTCGGCAAGGAGTTAGTGGTTTCTTGATTTTAAAGAACAGCGCAGCAAAAGAATAAAAATGTCTTTGTAATATACTAAAATCTAGGCAGGGACAAATCTTGTCCATTTTCAGTGTTACGCACATATATATATGTATAAACTTGCCTCAGTAAGAATGATCTGCTTACAACTGACCATGTTCTGTTGTGAGGACTGTTCATGAGAGTATGCTAGTTTAAAGTATCAAGAGTGTCTTAACTGGATGGCAAATGAGTCCATTGTTTTCATTAGCTTGTAGTTTGGAGCCCTTAGTGTGGCATAACAGTATAGTCCAGATGTGTTTTACTAATGCTTTCCTTTTTCAGCACAGAAATAGCAGTTCTTCAAYGCTTTATTCTGCTGATGACTTACTATGGCATCACACAACAGACCACAATAAACATTTTCCAGCTTTGTTCAGCTGAGTAGTACTTAAGCTACAAGAAATACTCATTAAGTTATTTTTATATATGTGATGTGAAATGAATTAAACAGCTCAATGGAAGAAAGGCTGTTCTAAATAATAGTAAAAAGATGGAGATCATTAATCAAGGTCAAGAAGCAGGTGCAACCTCCAATAGCAGCAATACTGGCAAAAAGTGAAATCATTCAAGAATTGCAGAGAGGACTAACAGCAATAAAATCGTAGTATTTGTTTTTKTCAGGTACGATTCAAAGTTCACCATCGTTAATTATTACCTTAATAGGCTTTGGAATAATTGCTTTGCATAAGCTCATATTCCAAAAGCAAATATCAGTCTTTGAAAAAAAGAACAAAAACCTTCAAAAAAATCTTTTACGTTTTTATGTAATCAAGGTATTTGAGATCTKTATGAAGACGTGTTGTGCTGTGAGTGTACAAGCAAAAAAAAAATTTGCTGCAACTTSAAAATGCTGCCGTGTCCCTGTAGTTGTTCGAGTGGCTCTGTGCTACTGGGTGAGCTGATGAGTGCTCATGGAACCTTCCTGCTTCATGGTGCACTGGCTTACATTGCTTCTGGCTTTTTAATAGAGAAAAAAAAAAGGCARCGAGAATGAGACAGGAATTAAGGAGTGCTCTGGTGCTAGCAGCACTATGCACTTACGTAGATGAAATTTTTGGCTACTTAGAGAACTCTAAATGTGACAGAACAGATTTGTATCAGCTAACTAGTTCACCTTAARCCAGTTAAGTATGTGAAAGTACCTTCACATTCCCTCTAGCAAAGCTGACATCTCCAAGTACATGGCCTTTGGCAGAGAAAGAATGAGAATTTCAGAGGGTTTATTTCCATTACCAGGTGGAGGAGGGTGGCTTTCCCRCACAAGCTGGGAGGTCACTGCACTGAGTGGTGGCCAGGTGGAACTGTGTGTGACGGCCAAGCCTGCTTAGGGGAAGAAGGTGCTGAGGTGGCACCTGCAGTTGTTGGTGGCAGAGACCCTCAGAGCCCACTTTGCTGCCAGAGGCATCTGTGAGCACTTGCAGCTTGCGCTGTCTACCCAAGGAGGTGACGTGAGCCCTCAGTCCGTGTTGTAACTCATTGTGCTTGTGCCTGCAAACAGCAGTGCCATCATCTGCAACCCACTCCTCTCCTAGAGCAGGAAAATGGTGTCAAACATCCCAAAGGGAAGTCTGTGATACTTCAAATTGGTGTTAAAGAGGAGAAGCCAGAGCAGGRTCTCTTTCTTTCTTGTCCAGGTATAAAGAATTAATCTGAAGAACGGTAAAGCAGAAACCTCAGACATTTAGGAATAAGAACAAAGGGGAATCCAGTGCTGCTTGTTGTAGCCTTTTGGTTCTGAAGAGTCCCAGGTACCCTGATTTTAGGAGTGGAATAATGCTATGAGCAAYGGCTCACAGATGAGATGCAGCTAATTCCTGCTTTAACCTGGGTCTGTACAGAAGGGTTTTTTAAAAAAGACAAGTCTCATTATCTAATGTCTCATTATCTAATTATTTCTTTTAGTGAGGACTGCTCTTAARTTTTATGGATCCTTATTACAAAGGAATTAAAAACGGTGTTAGGAAGAAGTTTCATTTTAACTGCCCAGCTTGGTGGTGGCAGACTTTTGATTAAAGTGCAAATTCCTTGAAGACACTTTGAGAAAAAAAATTATTTTAATTGATAAATGTAAGGAATTTTATAACGGGTAATTTCACAATCATTTTATATTTCAAAAAGAAAGAGAATCCATTTCCAGGCCTTAGTGGTAAATTTGAATTTGCTTTATAAAGTTACACACAAGAATATATTGCTGTTGATTTTAAATTATTACTCTTTTTTTTGGGGTGCAGGTTCTTGTATTTAGCATATTCATCTTGTAATGTCTTTTTGTTTTCTTTTCGCATGCTCTTTGTATCAATACACTTAACATCAACAATTAGCTGGTATACTGGAATGAAAGCTGTTATGAATGAAGACAAGGAACTTTCTCTTTTGCTTTTTTCCCTTTCCCACTCTATCCCCCAAATTGTTGATAACTCTAGCCATGACCCCTGTGCTTACAGAGCTTCTATTGTTTTTGTACAATGAGACACTAACAGCAATTGACCTGCACCAGAGAGTATTTATCTCAAGATCATTAACTGCTCTACTAATTAAGGGAGAAGTCTCTAATTGTATAATAAATTAAAAGAGTTTAACTCAAAACGGTCCACAGAAAACATTGCCCAGCTTCAACTCTGCCAYTGGCATCAGATGAAGTTGCTCTTCTGCTGAGTTATTTACACATGTCCACAGAATCCTTAGAAAAGTGCATGTGATATACAGAAAAGTGYCATCTTCCTGAATACAAACATAGGACACTGAACTTGTGAGATATCTACAATCACACCAGTTTAATAAAGGTTTGTCACTGCAGGCAAAAAAAGGCATCCCAAACAAACACACAAAACCCACAGCAGTAATTTTAGTCTGGTTTCTTAAAAKAAATAAAATAAAGTGATGCATTTGGGATCATGTCAGTAGATGTTCTTGTAGGGATGGGCTTGATGCACTGATGCTGCGGGTGGTCCCAAGAGGCTGTACAGCCCAGGGATGCCAGGGTTACTACCCCAGGATGCCAGGGTTACTCCCTGTAGGTGCTGGGGGACTGCAGCTAGGGGAGGGGAACTATGACCCCTGTGTCTGTCAGGATGGCTCCTAATTTCAAATGTGATGAACAAAAAAATGGATGCCTCAAGACATTCTGTTCCTACAAGTTTCATGACAATAGGTATCTGCATAAAGAAGAGACCCTATTTGTTTTTTAGCTCAGTTTCCTTTAAAACTTTATTTTCTGCGTACCTTCCAACTTTCTTTCTATCCTTCTGGCCCAGGAGATGAGCCATGTTTCTTGCTGGAGACATGCAACAGAGTTGTGAGAGTGTCAAAAACACCAGATTGGTGTAACTTCATGAAAGCTTTAGCTGAGCAAAGGAGAGRAAGACCCACTCATCCCTTCCTCCTSTGGGAAAGGCTGGCTCCATGCACCAGCCCTGCAAGGCACAGCCCCTGGGAAACTGAGTTTCATTAGTTTTGCAGCTCACAGAACAACTTGTTCGTTCTTTCTGTCATCTGAATAACACCTGCTCAATCCCAAACAGATTATTAGTGCCAATTATTATTCAGTCATCAACATCCGCTCTGTTGCAGGGGATTTTAATTTATGACAATGAGGATGGCAAACAAACAAATATTCTAATAGGGAGCACTTGGTTTAAAGTAAACCATTTACATTCAGGTGGCATCCAGGATGACACTGYGCTGTCTGTTCATTCACGCAAGCAAGGCAGAAGCTAAAACCACATTTCAGTAGAGACAAAACCATCACAGCCTTCGCTGGAAACAAAACTACTCAAAGTTCAAGCAGATGGTGCCTGAGGCAGCAGCTAGCTGTTCGCTGCAGATGCAGTTGTAGCCACTTACGAAGTTTTTCCCTGCTGCTGCCACCCTGCAGCCAAATGTTAGCCACAAGGACACCTGGGGCCTTCCAGCTTCTGCCATCAGTCACCTTTAGCTAAGGGTAAGYGGCAGAAAAGCACCAGGGAGAAACCTGTGCAGCTCCTCCTCGTGGGCTGGCAGCAGGGCTCCTGGCTGCACCATTTCTACAAGCACTGAGCTTGTGTCCTGCCACTAAACTGCTGAGAAATGGTCAGCTAGGAAACTAAGGAAATGTTCCTGGGGGGATGCATGTGTAGCTGGGTTTCGTCCCTCACTCACCTAGTACTGCAGGCACCTTTGTCTTTTAAATAATTACCTTGCTGCAGGCTAACATGTTAATTATTTTAAAGTGGGAAGTACAGAGTAGTATCACAATATTTGYAATAGTTTATGAAAATCGCCCAAGTGTGTGGAGATTTGGTACTCGTTGCAGGAGCATTGCTATGGAGTGTGAACAGCAGCAGCCTGAGCTGCAATGTCCTGGTGTTATTGCCCTGCTCCACGTCAAGCTTCATCTTGAGCTTTGCCAGGAGCACTGCTGTGACTGCTACCGGAGGGCTGCCGGTGTAGACAGACTCGAATCAGCCCTCTTCCTTTCACCAAGATTTAAGTAGACCAAAGARGCTTAACCAGTGACTGGACAAGGCTCCAATTTTTCAGAAAAAAAATGGAGCTGGTGTGCCAAAGACCCTTTTACTGGGAATGGATGAGGCAGCGAGGCTCTTCACAAACAACTGGAAAGCTTCTCTTCACAAAGAGCTTTGATGGAGAAGAAAGGGAGGTAGAAAAAAAGTCAAACAAAACACATGCAAGCTCATAATACATAAACTAATTGATGTTTGAAAGTGCATTAATGAATAACGGAGAGAAGCATCTGTAAAAGAAAATGAATGCTCAGAGCAGATAATTGATATGCTATTTCTTCACTGTGTGCTAGTGTGAAGTCATGAAAAGAATGTTAAACATGGAAGATAAATGAGAATTTGTTATTTTAAAGCCAGGATCATCAGGACTTTATATGTTTTATATGCTACAGGAAGAAACTCTGGAATCTTCTCAGTGAGTACAGGGCATAAATGGTAGAAGCAGTATAGGTCAGGAATACTCTGGCATTCCTAAAATCAGAGGATGACGGGGTATATCAGCACAGTGGGACCACAGGAGAAAAACAATGTGCTGGGAACATGRTACTCAAATTTGCTTCTTCAAAATCCACTGCAAACATAACCCTAAGGTGATTTTTTGAGCCATCACCCATTTTTGAGATTTGGGTTAACAGATTGAAGGAATTTGAAATTTATCACCAGCAGCATCCTCAGCATCACTGGCACACTCACAAAGTGGACATTGTTGAATTTCTATGTCCTTTACTGCTGTTTAGTTCTGCATCAGCACAGCCAAACAGGTGTTTTTAGCAGGCCTGGGTGTCTTTGTTAGTTTTTGGTTTTAATTCTCATTGTGAATTTGATCTTGATGGGACCTGGTTCTGTAAAAGCAAAGCTGAAAAGTCTTTTTCCATCRTGTTTTGTCCTCCTGTGAAATAGTTGTGTGTGCACACCTGAACCTACATGCACCTGGGCTTCTGAACACCTGCATGCAGATACATGTGTAAACACACAAGTGTACAATTCAGATTACTGTCCCACAATATTTTAGAGTGTTTGAGAGTTTGAATTTGGGGATTTTAGTTACTAGACAGGTAACCTAAAAGCCCCAAAWTGAGAAAATATCAGGAGATAAGCAAGTGACCTATTCCACTTCCAAATCCCCAACTAACCTGTGCCAGAGGTGCAGGCTGATTTTGCAGAGTTGCTTGAGGCAGCAACTGCTGTGGGAGAAGCTCACATGGAGGCTGAGAAGGCAAAGAAACCTAGGTTAAAAACAAAACATACCAAAACTTTGTAAGTTTGGCTCCTTTAAATTTTAGGTTTCTTCCAATGCCGTGGCTTCTGTGTAAGTCATTTTTAATTGCTAAGCTGTGTATGTGGCACATGCTGTCACACCCTCTGCCTATTCCATGGTTCCTTGTGAAGTTACCTGAAGAGCTGTAGGTTGGCTGAGTCTATGCACCGATAAATCCTGCTGTGTGCTTGGTGTTCTTGGCAAGGGAGTGGTAGACTCTGTAATCAGCTTTGTTGGTGTAGCTGCAAGGAAAGTATCAGTGAGATCTTACATGCTGGAAATCAATCCTGTTTGAAGTGGGTAATATGACAAGACCTGGGTAGAAATCGTAACGGCCTGGCTAAATTCCAGTGGGAGTCAAGGCTGTTCCTGTTTACTTCAATGGTCATAAAATTAAACTGATAAGGAGGRTTTGGGCAAAGATAAAAGTAAATGAGACAGATTATAATTCTGTGCTCCAATGAGCAGTGCAAAAGAGCCCARGAACTGTTCTAAAACAGCTGGAACTCCCTTTATATGGGCTGAGTAACTGTAAATTTAGGTTTGCTCATTGGCTCTTTTTTCCAGCCCAGGAAGCAGAAAGAGTATACCCAAATCAACACTGGAACATCCTAAATCTTGACCAGAAGAGAGTCACCCACAGGCTTTTATTACTCATGTAAGCCTAGAGCAGTCTCATATTGTTCATACTGGTGCCCTCAAATTTAAAGACAAAAAGTCCTCATTTTTGTTACAGAAAATTGAAACAGCACATTTCACATCACATTTCAACAGAATGAAGCAGCACATTTCACATCACATTTCAACAGAATGAAGCAGCACATTTCACATCTAATTCCACTGCTCACTTCCCAGCATTTAGGTGGTTGTACTAGAACCTTCCCGCCCAAACTTTACCATTTCAGATTTTGCACTTCATTGTCAGGGTTTATCATTGATACCTCATAATTTACTGTTAAATTAGCAGCTGTGGTATATAAACACATATTCTGTAAGTTTGCTAAATTAAAAATAAAGCAGTAACCCAGGAATGCAACTCACATGCTGGATCTGACTTGGGTGTGTGGGAAGATTTTGGTGAGCTCCTGGATGACACTGAGGGTGTTCGACTAGCGCTGAGGATTGAGGCACCAATATCAAGTGCATTAAAGTGCTGTTCAGGATCCAAGCTGGTGCCACTGTCCTAAAACAAACCAGAAAAGAGGAATAACTGTTGCATCTATCAAAGGTAAAGCATTTTGAAATTAAGTAATGGTTGCAAACCAGTTCTTTGGCAGACCTAAAATGACTTGAGCAGAACTAATCTCAGGTAGGCCAAGAGAACACCTAGACACAGCAYCAATGCCCCTTCCAAACAGCATCAAACTAATGCATTTTACAAACACTATCACTGAGTTAGAAATAAAGAGCAAGGCCATAGTCATTTTGTGCCTTTAGATATTCTTCTGAATCTTTCTGTTTTGTTGTATGTGACAACTGCAACCTCTGTGAGACACTCAGACAWGCACTGAGGAGGAACTTTGCTGCCTTTCCTCAAGAGATCACTGAGATGTAGCCAAGAGGGCTGATTGCCAGAACTTGTCCAAATAAATCTTTAAACTGTAGTACCTTGCCAAGGAAAAGTTGAGATATCTCACACTGTCCCAGMCCATGTTCCACTTATTTTGTGACTGTTACTGATCTCCAGGTTTATCCTTTCATAAACTCACCTAATTTATGTCAAAATTATTCAAGTGAGCAATGAATTCTTAAGTTGAGAGAATCCACCATCATTGAAGAAAGGCAATACTGGAGTCTTCAGTGACATTAATGCAGGAACAAGTTGTGACTACTACATAAACTCATAAAAAAAAGGTTTTCTCATTGTACCTTTAGTGCTGAGGACACAACCTCTGARGACACTTCTTCCAAGCCCATCTCCTGTCTCCTCTCCACCCGAACATCTGCATAACTGAATGGAAAACATAACTCTGTGTATCAACATGGAACTGCTATATTTCTCAGAGTGTGCTTTAAGAGAGTGGAGGAACAAATTACTGTACTATTTTACAGGTTGAATGAACAGCTGAAAAAYCATTTAAGTCAAATGCTGCTGAATAACATTTGAGGGTGTTTCAATTTTCAGGTTTTAGTCTATTCCTATCTTCTTAAAGTCAAGATGCATATTAAAGTAATATATGTAAAGGTCAAGTTCACATCTTACAACCACTTTATGACTCCACTGGAAAGCTTCTACACATTGCTTTAAAAATAACATAAGGATTAGAGGAAGCGAATATTTAAGGGATCTGTCTATTYTCTAATTTTGCATAAAACAGAAAAYGCCATAGTTCATCTGTCATTAAGCTTAACATAAACTAAGGTTCAGTCTGATAGTTTTTTCTATAATTACCGTATTTTCTTCAGAAAATTTAGGCTTAATTTTTTGTTATGTAAATGATGTCATATTTTTAAAAGACAYGAGGATGCTCTTATCTTACTGTCCTTTATGTACCAGCTGGCTGATGTGATTTTCCATACCTTACCACCATGTGTGTGCACACAATGAACTCTGGCTTGGAGTTCCACTGGTGGTAGGTGATGTAGTAGTGGGTCTGGAGCCAGATCCACTGCTGTCCTTTGGTCAGAAACCGATAGCAGCACGACTTTCCCTTGCCAAACTGCATCACTGCCAACAGAAAACACACACAGCTTGTACCACAATTACGGGATCAAYGTGAAAATGACATGAAATGTGAATAAAAAAGTGACAAAAATATCTGTCAGAGGGAGACAAGAGTGAAAGCACCGATTTTGAGTAAGTGCTCCTCTCAGCCTTCTGAAAGAGCAAAAATCATAAAGATTAGTAGGTATCTTCCTCTGACACTGTGAATGGTACATTCCTACATACTACAATTAACCTTAAGTTCGGACTCTAATGAATTAGTGTCTGCTACAATTTAAACACAGGTCTTTCCCTGCTTTATGTGCTGATCACATACCGCTTAATTAGACATCTGGGATTATTTTTTAACAGTGATCATCATCTAGAGCAGAAAAGTACAGGAGAAAAATGCTTGAAAAGATGAGTATTGCGTGTAGATGGATTTAGAATAAGGTAAGCATAGAAGATAACACTGCAAAGACAAAAATAATTTGAAAGAAAATTCCCAAACTGACAAGAATTCAAACTACACTAAACCAGGGTGTACTGAAGGTTTTGACGATTCACCAGTGAAATTAATCTCTGCTTTTTTCCCCTGGTGATTTCAAGGGGTTCCCAAACATCCACGTATTTAGCCTTTCTATATTTCAATGTCAACATACAAAAACTAATGTTGACAGGATACTTTCAGGATAGGCAGAGGTTACAGCCAGTTCTGTAAGCAAATATTTGAAAAGCATTGCCTTATTTTCTTTACTTAGTGAAAGAGTTTTTCAATTAAATCCTAATGGGCCATATTTAAATAATCACAGCYAATCCCGAATACACAGTGAACAACATTAGGGGAAATAATCCACAAGAATTGCTTGAACTCTTTCTGCATATTCTTTACTAATAGAACAGGGGTCAAATATGGCATATTTTATCCATTCAGTGAGCCTCACTGAAAGGATAAAGYCTCACTACTTTTGGGGATACAGAAGATAAAATTGTATTTTTCAGAGCTTGGTAAGAGGCCAATTAGCTGCAGTGCCTGCTGTCTGCTACAGCTCTGCTGAGATAGACAAGCTGARGCAAGAGTTAAACCTCCCCTTCCAAAGGACACTTCCCTGAATAAAGGTGTCCCAGTGCCTTCCCAGGAACTTGGGCCACGTGATACTTACAGTGTTCATGGCACCTTGCTAGCAGCTCCAGGTCATCTATGTGGTAATAGTCGTAGCCAGAAGTACCCAGCACTTCAAAAGGCAAATATCCRATAATCGGCGGTGCTCTGTGGTTGGGCACAACAGGAATCCGTGAAAAACAGAACAAGCAGTTCTGCACGTTGATGCAAAATGCAAACAGCCCAAGTGTGCTTTCACTTATCAGCTATAGTTGTTCAACACTGTTTGTTGGATCCTGACGTTCCCCCACGTTGTGCCTGGGATACCCAGCTGGGCACAGCAATACCGGCAGGCACCATCCCACCAGGACAAGACTATGACAACACCSTTTCTTCAGGGAAGATGTGATTGTGGAAAGCATTTCATCTTCTCAGGGACCCAAAGACAGGAACCTGCTGTGAGGGAGCTGTTTCCTGGCTGCTCCTTGGTCAGGGGCTCTGCGATGGCTCCTGCAGCCCTTGCACAGGGGAARATGTGTGGGGATGTGTTTGGAAGCCAACATCTGCTGGGACAAGGGGGATAGGAGGAGAAATCATCTGTGCTGCTTTCCTCTGGTGCCTGGAGAGCTCATCTGTGGCATGCTGAGGCACTTGCTTTGTACCTTTGCCAGCACAGATGCCTCAGGCCAGCATAGACTTTCCCTCCTTAACTCAGTGGGAATTGCACACAYGCAATCAGTGACTGGATTTGGAAAGAAGGATTTCTGCAGCTGTATAATAATTAGATCATTTTGCCATGTGACAGACTTTGGTCTGYTGATAATTTTAAAGGAAGCAAGAACACACTAATCACAAATTCGGCTAAAGAAACAGAATCCTTTTGTTGAAAAAGCCCAKTAAAAATAAAACCAAAAGTAAATGTAAAATAGTAAATATCAGCTTTTGGAGGAATTTCRGTGGCAGTCCTCCTGTTCATAAGATTTAGATGTGAAATGGAAAACTACTTGAAAGAATCGTACTTGTGGAATGGTAGTAGAAAAGCACCAAACACAACCAGGAGCACTYTTCTTGTCACCAACCTGTGATCCAGAAATAAAAATTTCCACTCCAGACTGTGTCTTGATGTGAATTCCTCTAGAGGTTCTTCTACGATGCACATCTCCTGTCCAATGGAGAAAACTGACTTACTGAGAGTTGGARCTTCACCCCTCTGCTTCACCTAGCTTTTGTTAGCTATAAATACATAGYGCATAAGAGGAAAAAACAAAGGACTCACTCATTTTCTGGCAATTCCTGAGACCAAACTATTGTATTTATCAATGCCAACCTTTCTGCAGAAGTTGGGGAGAAGAACTTGTAATGCACATGTACTTAAGAGCTAAGACTGTGCCTCAGGGTGCCAAAACTTTTTTGGCTTTGAAGCAGTGCCTGGGGTGTGATGGCCGTGGGCTTTCCCAGCAACCAGCCTGTGCCTGATCCCACCAGGGCTTGCCATGTCTTGCTTCACTCCCTCTGTGTTGCTAAAGATACCCACCACCCTTGCCTTGTCCTTTTGGATGTGGGTCCTCCAAGCTCTCTGAGAAAGGGGACACTCTCCTTCTCCCTCCGTTGCTGCAGAGGAATGTTCTGCCTGCATGGAACATGTCAGGTGGGTAAAAGGGGTCAGTTTTGCCTTGCACTTCACTGCCACAGCAAACAAGCTGGCCCTTAAGAGGCACAGCAGCCCTCAGTGCTCAMGAGAATGATAATTAATGAGTGAGTTATGGGAGTGAGGGCACAGGGCTGTCTGTGAAGAGGGACATCCTTGCCCTRGAGAGATGAGGATCAGGAGGCACTCGGTGATCACTCACTGGGTGGAGGTGGGAAGTAGAGGGAAGGATGGCAGCATGAGCTGGGGCCGGCTGCATGCCCCAAGGCCACCTCGCTGCCCACTCCAAGCTTTCCTCTCCCATTGGATACTCTGCAGGGGCAACTGCAGCTCCACGAGCTGACTACAGTCAGCCTGGAGACTCCTGGCCTGGGAGTTGCCAGCATCCTGCAGGAGGGTCTCCATCATCATTGGGAAGGACAGCCTGCCCACTGGCCCCCAGTGCTGCTATTCCCCTGCTCCCTGATGCCACATCCCCCTGTGCTGTGGGCTCAGGGACACCATCCCATCATTTCCATTGCTGCTTCTCTCTCTGCTGTCCCTTGGGCAAAGAACAGACCACTGATGCTTTAAACCCTGTTGGGACMAGAAAACTGTGCTGCCATCAAGCACTTCTTCAAGACATACCAATGCTGACAAATTTGTTTGAAGTCTCAAGCTGTGCAGAGGAAAAAGGCTTCATAATGCCTTAAATTCCTCTCTCTCCCTCTCTCCAGTTTAGACCAAAATCCACACTGATGCTAAGAACATACACTGAAATTCAAGGTRCAAACACTGCTGTGTGCAACCAAATTATTAATTCTGCCTTCCTTAGCCAGTCAGATAAACATTTTTACCTTCATTTTACAGTAGGAAGTCAGGAGTGGGGGTTGGGTGAGTCACCCATGTGAACGAAAGAGATGGGTGTTTGGGACTCTGGCAGTTAAAACCTTCTCTGGACTGTTCAGCAGCTCCTTCCTCCCTAGTACTGGGCAGCTCATTGCCATGGACAGCCCATTTTAATTCCCTGATTATTTTCAGATGCTAGTTACCCAAGGACAAGTGAATTTGCTTTWAGTGTTCTCAGAGAACCTTAACTCCAGCCCTCCTACTAATATGATAATTGTGGTTAAGGTTCATTGGAAGTGTACCCACTTATCCACAAGGGGCTCTACCTGCCTGTAGGGCCAGGAATCAGTCTAGAATGCTCTGCAAGTTCCAGAAAAGTAATGGAACCAGGCAAAGGGAGCAGGGATTTCATACTGGCTACATCTCAGTTACATTAAAAAACCTCTTAAACTCTGGGGACAGGACACCTGATGCCATAGTTCACATTTGTTAATTAAGGAACAGCGGTGTTAGGCACAAGCTTGGTTTGTCTAGCCTTACAACCACAAGCAGCTATCTTACTTCCAGGATTTGGGAGAAGAGAAACTAGCAGTAGTGCTCCAAAGATGCTGAGAAGCACAAACGGAAGTGTTGGTGCCCATCTGTATCACAAAATCACAGAATGACAGAATTGAYGAGGCTGGAAAAGATCTTTGAGACCTTACTACATTGCCCCACCACAGGAACAGAAAGCAGCAATGACAAACCAAATTTCAAAATTACTTTGCCTTTCCTAATGCAAGAAGGGTTTCCATTTCYTGTGCAATGGGGGCAGAAGTGACACTGCTTCTGCAGATCCTGGCCTGCACTGATAATCCTCTTCACCGGATTTTTATGCATGAAATGTGATATCTGTAATACATTCAATTAGCAAAACTAAGAACCTTCTGTGTCACCTGGTCTGAAAGTGTTTTGAGAAGTTCTGAAGCACGTGGGACCCAGGGTGCGCACTTACCTTTAAAAACTGAGGCGTTGCCAAGCGAACAGTCGCAACAAAGCAGATCTGCTTTCCTGGGGATGTTCTGTAAGCCCTTGGGACAGCCTCATCAAAGCCATTGCAAGTGGAGTTAGGCACTAGGTAGGGAAAATAATGGGACCTGGAGTCATGCCTCATATCAGATTTGCTGTCCCTAAATATTTTGCACACTCGGAGTGTCCTAATACTATTTTTATTAAGAGAAGTTCTCTAAAAGCTTTTAAAGCTGATATGCATATATTTAAATCCAAGTCAGTCATGTTAGGCAGAAAGGCATCAGAGCTTAACTTCAAGTATGAATTTTACAGGTTAATCCTGATAAAAATAAGGCCGAACCTTATTACAGAGCATAAACCAGTTTTCTGGAAAGAAACCCCACACATCCAATTGCTCTTTTTCACCACTCACAGGGAAAAAAAAATATATGCTGCAGCATGCCTAGCACCATAACTTCCATGATGCAGTGAAAAAAAGTGTTGGCAAAGGAGGYAACTGAAGAGAGTTCGTCAAGTCATCAGTGGCAACACACCGAGGCCCACAGCCAGCGAGGCTTCATCGAGCTAGCAAGAGGATGCTTGTGATTCTTGGCTGCTGAAAAATGCCTTCCCCTTTTGCAATGAAAAAACTGTCCCCAGTATGCTCAAGTCATCCTTCTTTTAAAGAAGAGGAAAAKGAACCCCAGGTATGGCACTGGCTTCCAGAGATGTGCACATTTGGTGAGTCTGCTGTCTTCTCAAACACTGGGCAGAAGGAGAAACTGGATGTGATGTGGCTACACATTTTGTGTGGTTTTTCACCTGTGTCTTTGATGACTGCATGGCTCCTGCTGCWTTGAGAGCCCACCAGCACCTCCTGCCAGAGATGCATTGCCAAAAGAATGCTTTGCTGTAAACTAGTCCACAGTCCCATGTTAGAATGACATAATGCAAATTATTCCTCCAAGTTCAAGCTGTTTAGAGATGGTAATCCCACTCCCACAGCTATGAAAGAAAACTGTGTGCCAAGCTGCAGCAGGAACTGGGCTGGATTCTTGCCCTGCCCAGCCAACTTTCTCCCATGGGAGCAGAGAAGGTCTTATCTAGCAGCCAGAGTTCACCAATCTGAACTAATTTAATGCTAATAGGGATTAATACTCATATAAAATTATCTTTACTTACTATTAGGCCCCTACATCCAACTTTATGATGTTTCTGACACTTTGTCTGTTCTGCACAGGGCAAAACATTATTGTGAAATTGCAGAGTTTTGTTTCTATSTGGGGGAGAAGATAACTAACCATTTTTATCCTGGGGTGCATTGGGATTTCATTCACTAACATAAATTGCAGAGATGGAAGAAGTCTTAGCTTATCACATGTGCTTTTGAAACCCAGTTTTCAACCTATTAAAAGCCTTAGAATAGTGATGCATTACTGGTCACAAGGACAACAGGGTATAAGACAGAGAAGTATGCTGAGCGGAATTCACACCTGTGGTTAACTGTTTTAGGCCACTGTGTGCAAAATATRTATTAGACCAAAATGGAAAAAAAAAGTTAATTATCTAAGAAGGCAGCACAATTGTGCACATCTGCAGAGATCAAGTCCTCTCTCGTAGTTGAGTCTTGAGGGCATGGTGACTGGACATTGAGATAAAAAATAAGGACAAAATTCTCCTCCTTTCACCAACAGAGCACACTTGCTCTGGGGAATTCCTAGGAATASGTGTTCCCATTCTGATCCTGGAGTTATGTGCATTTATACGGGCTTCTACGGGATTATTAACACAAAAGGTTGAACAAAAGAAGAGTTAAGAACTACAGGACACATGAGTAGCCTWAGTAAAGAGTTATTGGTCCATCTCTGATATTATTGTTTAGTGCAAATCTGTTGATTTCTGTAGTCAGTCCCGTTTAAAAATTAATGGCAATGCTATAAACCCACACTACAGGCATTGTGAAAAGTTACTTCCAAGCTTGCTATGGAGTTAGYATGTTGTCACATTTGAAGTCAATGGGGTTATTTCTCTCTGTAAGAGCCGAGTTCAGTAGCAAATCCTTGCAGTGTGGGCTCTAAGATATGAAAAGAAGATTAAGCACATTTAGCCTGTGAAACACAGGTGAGGCACAGGTATGATAAGTTAACCTAGTTAGCAAACCATGGGCTTGCAAATRACACCAGTTGTAGAAGGAAGTGGAGATTGAGTCACACCAAAGAGAGCAGATGGCTTTTTTATGTCAGCTGTTGGGTGTAAACAGCCATGAGCTTGAGACATTCCCAGCAGACAGCAGAATACATCCCTGAACGTGGCATTTACAAAATAGGATTATATTTCCAACAGGTAAAAGCAGTAGCAAGAGGGTAATAATTAATGTGTAGGACAGCAAGGCAGTAATTTGGGATTTCCTCACAACATTTGGAATGATGAACTTATGTGGCAGTGAATGAATAAGCCCAAAGAGATGAGACAGAGCTGGCCTGGCTGGAAGTTATCCTGTCTTTGAACAGCTACTGTGCCATCTCATACTCAGCTGCCTTTGACAAAGTCCAGAGCATGAAAAGCCTCAATGATGCAGGCAGGTAGCCATCACCTTGTAAAGTACAACTCCATCTGAAAATGACAACTACAATAAYTGAAAGAAAAACCACTCACATTTGCTTCTGAATTATTTTGCTGCCTGACTTAGTCTGTTGGGATGGGCTCTTTCCACAGCTTTATCTGCACAGTCTGATTTTGCTCTGCTCTGATTCTGCAGCTGGTCAGTGAATTTCAACATTTTTTGGTTGATGAATTTTGAAGTGTAGTTAAAAAGAGATCATTGCATGAATTAAAAAAAACTCAATCCTAGTATAACCTTTTAAACATACCTTCTGAAAAAATCACACTGTAAGTGTGGCTTTAAGTCTCTTTAAAAGAAACAAAAMACCTTGAGAGAGCAAAGTTCAGTTGCAAACTTTCTGAGAGCACCACAGAAAAAGAGTGGAATGGAAAATATAGGATCAAACCTGAGGMTACAGTGATATTAACATCTGTAAGTCAAATATAGGGCTTGGAGTGCTTTTGGAAGAAAAAAACCTAATGAAAATGTTAAACTGGCCATAAACAAATGGACTTGGGTATATGAGGGCATGTGTGTTTCACAAATGATTGAGACAGATTATCTCAAGTAAGGAATCAAAAGGTCATGGGACAATGCTAAATGCATAATCAGAAAGGTGAAACAGTTGTCTCATATATATCAGCTAGTTTTTGTGSTTACCCATAACACCTGCTGTTCCTAGAGCTACCACAAAAATTATTTTGTGTAAGTATTAAATACCTGAAAATATCTCATAAGACAGAAAGAAACTGATTTATGTATGTAGAGATTTTTGTCTGGTTTTTCTTTTGTTTCTTTTTTTTTTTTTTTTTTTTTTTTTTTTTTTTGTTTTTAAGACTAGGACACTAGGGACAGAATGTTAAAAATAAGTAATATACATGAGGAACCAAGCCCTTAACTGTCACAGACAAAAGGATTTTTATCCTTAGGGATAGAAATCATGCCACATGAAATGAATGAAAACATGTTTAAAAAACCCCAGATGCCACTTTATTCAGTTAATAATAGTACAGCAGTCAGTTGCTCGGTCATCTTGTCTCAACTTGGAATGTGTAAAACATAATCTTCCTAAGATAGCAAACCTCCTGCTTACGCCACTTGGAAAGAAGAAATCCCTCCTTCCTATTTTGTCAGGAGATGTTAATGTTTAAAGAACCTGTCTTAGTGACTGYCAAACAAACTGAACAGTGATTTCAAAAAATACACGCCAAACAGACCAGAATAAAATCAAAAATGTTTTATATCAATTAAGTCATACCACAGACAAACAGAATATTTGGCAATTAATAGATATAATGAAGAAATCTGAAGTGCWGGTGGCAAGCCAGACTGCTCAGTACCTATATAGATGAGTAACAGTGACAGTGTCCACACATCACCTGCCCACTTKGATCTACTCTCTCCTCTTTCCTCCTCCTCTTTCTCCCTTTGCCATCCTGTGTTGATATGAATCTTGAGTAGATTCTTTAGAACAGGAATGGTGTCTTTTTTGTTTGCATAGAGAGGCTGGCATGGGTGCTGCATATAGCTAGCTGCAGCTCCTATGATATTGTTAATAGCAAATAATAAAATGCGGCTGTYGGTTCTGATCAAAATTCTGATTAATTTTGGATGGAGTTATTATCGTTTCAGATGTTTCAGCATATACTTATGGAAACGCAAGATCAAGGTATCTTCTGTATAAACTACTTCKTTTTATTTCTTTTAAAAATGAATTCAGATTAAATTAATTTTTCTGGGAGTTCAAAGTTTTTTTCCTCCTCAGCATAGTAATTTTCTTGATGTTTATTATTATATCTGAGATATGTATCAGCCAACAGTAGAGTATCTGCTATTATTAGCATTCAGTAACCAGATACTTCCTGAGTTTCCATGTAATTGGGAACAAAAATGCACAATTTAAAATTCCACTATAATATTTAATTATATTACTTGATTAGGAACTCTTTTCGCAGAATGGTTATCTCCTTCTTCAAGAGAAGAGCCTCYGGCATTTTGGATGAAAGGACAGCTCTGTCACTTAAAAGATGCTGGTGGTCCTTTTTTATATTGATGAACTCTTTGAAAGGRTGGACTCTGGTTTTGTCCCTTTCAGGAGTTTTTAAACAAGTATGTCACTTCAGAAAGTGGATACTAGAGCCAATATTTGGATATATAATTACGAGAGATCTTTTCTGTTTACGAACATACAAACAATTTTCACAGGAGGGATAAGTCCAGCCTCCTTTATCATTTCTTATCAGAGCGAGCTATTAAGCAGCTTTGTAAAATAATTTATTCTCAATCTGACATTTTATACTGGCAGCTGAGCATTTCCTTGGACTTTTGGGGAGGRTTACCTTTGTTACTTCCCTTCCCCCTCAGCCCTCAGGCAAGACTGGATGTGAGCCTCTCTATTATTTAYAGGTGATGCTGATATGACTCTCCCTTATCAGGTGCTACTGGTCAATAGGCACATTCTTGTTAAAATCTGGGCTACAGACCCAGAACCTGAAATATATAAAAATATTGGACAGAGTTCCTATTTGCAAATAAAATAAAAACAACTCTAATGATCTGATAGCAAGTAGGCATTTCTCACAGAAACAAAAAGGAACTCCACCTTCCTCGTCTYAGTGGCCCAAGAGCCACCTCCTCTCCTCTCAAGGGACTACTGAATCTTCACATCAGGTTACAGTCCTGCTTTTCTCATTGAAGCTTAATTAATGATGATTATATAATCCTCCCTAATGGAAAATCAAATCTCTTGTATTTGATTTAGCACAGCCAGTGACTCATGCAGTCGCTCTGCACAGCCTGCATTGCTGTTTCACTGGTCGGCTGCTCTCGCCTGGGCACAGCCAATGCAACGGGGRTTCACTCATGTGCAGGCAGCTCATGTCACATCCCTGGTGTAGATACAGCTGCAGAAATGTTTTGCAGCAGGGGCTGTAGATACAGATTCCCCAGGACCAGTCCAAGTGTGCAGCCTCTTGCTAACCCTGGCGCTGGGCTGTGCAGCTCCTTTCGCCTGCAGCTACAACTGCGCCCAGGAGTTCCAGGGACAGGGATCTCCTGAAAGGCTGAGTACATGCTCTGAACTATGAGAGCTTTCCTGGGTGATTTCTAGGCCCTGTACATGAATGTCACTGCCTCTTCTGGGATCAGAGAAGATGCCAGTGACTACTCCTCTGTGGGAGTAGCACGGGTTCAATGTAGATTCTGTGTGATCTGCCTCCCTGACAGCAATTCTGGTGACAAGTCACCTTGGCAGATATCAGGTATTTGTTCTACTTTAGCATGAAAAAAATTATCTCTGGCATCTCAGTACAAAGGCCTTTAAAACCCCAGAGCTCCCATTAAAGTTAGGGAGAGCAGCTAAGCCCCTAACTGGCTTTCTAAGCCGCAATCCTTCAAATTAATCCATTCAAACCCATCCCTATATGATGTTCTCAGCCACAAGTCACAATGCGATTAACAGAGAAGGTATGARGGAGGAGGGAGGGGGGCAAGGTGACTGGGAACCCACACACAAAACCCCCTTCCTGCAATCACCACCACTGCATGAGCAATGAACAATAATCAAATAAGACTAAGAAGATGATAATTCAAAGCAGGTTACATAAAAGGTTATGTGGAAGTAGAATAAAGATAGTGACATTTCTGTTAAAGAGGGCAAAGAAGGACCTTAAAAGGTCCTTAAAAGAACCTAAAGAAGGTTCTTAAAAACATTAGCAAAGGTTCAATGAGAAGGAATGGTGACAGATTTACAAGGGCTGTTGCTGCTATGACCCTACATTAATAAAAATGGAATAGCAAGTATCCTGATAGCYTATAGCCTGCCCAAGGATAAAAGAACTTCCCTGGCCACAGAGGCTCTGGCATGGCTGCAGCAGGARCACGCAGGCAGAGTGGGCTCAGATTATGCTCATTGGAAACAAAGGTAGGAGTTGGCATTGGGTGGTTAAAAAGGAACGGCAGAGATTTGTATTTAAAGAACATCCTGTATCAGTCTCCCATGTGTAAAAACATGCTCACACTTCCACTGCTGTGAAAAGCTACAGGGAAAAACATTCTTCAATACATTCATAAGGAATGTCTCCTGCTAATTAAGCCTAATTTGCAATTTCTGTCTTTCTCCCCCAACTAACTCTTTTCTTATMTTTAGCTTAGAATCCTTCTTTCACAAACACCTCCAAAAAGCAGGATTTTGGGGCCAGCTGATCCCATGCATACAGGACAAATGATGCGCTGAGCAATATGTCTCTCTCCCACCACCCTTCCCACCTCTTTCTTTCTTGCCCACTTGGCCTCACACCTGGAGGAGGGATGACTGGAGATTGGGCATTTATTTAACAGGAGGAAAAGAGGGTAGTTACTGTCAGATCCAGCAGGTGCCAGCTGAGGTGCATGGGCTGGGGGATGGTGCCTGCTAACTGTGGGCCAAGCAGAGGCAGGAATGCAGCTCACCACTGCACCCACCCAGTGCTCAAAGCTGTYTGTGCCACAAGTCCCTGTGCCAAAGCACAGCTGCCCACAGCCCTCGGTGGTTTGCCCAAAGGGTGGCTGCACTCWGACAGTCTCGCTTGAGCTGATTCTCCAATGCCTTGCTCAGGGTGCAGCCGGCTGGACCCTGTGGATCCAACGATGGATGGTCACTTTGGAGCTCTGCATCTTCTTCTGGCTGCTCACCCTGTCCTTTGGACACGATTATCAGCTCCCAAGCAAAGTTTGCTGCTGCTACGTTGTGAATCTTGTTGCTCTTGTTTCCACCTTTGCCGGGAGGCTGCCATGGGGGTGACTCCCAGCCAAAGGCGAGCAGTGCTGGACATGCACTGATGAAGAATTTCCATCAGGCTCTGCACTGAACTGGCAAAACTAAAGTCAGATGGCAAAGGGACTAGGAGGCACCATCCCTGGTCCCCTCCCTGGCAGACGGAGGGTCAGACTGAAGCAGAGATATGAAGAAAAGTGGAAGAAACAAAATAAAGTAGAAGATTTAGGAAAAAAATGGCACAAAGAGGGGAAAAATGAAGCAGAAAGCACATTATTTGTTTGAAAGCTGTTAAGATGGGGTCCTTGTAAAATGATTTGGTGTCTTCTGAAATCAATATGTTCCCATTTAGTTTCTATGCATTAAGCTAGGAAAGATATCTGTAATGTAGGTTTTATCATTCTTCTGAGAAACAGCCACTGAAAAAATTGCTGGGATGTGAAATCCTAACGGGTAAGGGGGCAATATTAAGGTCACGCCACAATAAAGGGCTGAAAATCCTTGAAGAAAATGGATCAGAAATTCCCCTGGTAGAAATATATCCTTATGAGTCAGCACCTGAAATCCGGTTTCTGCTCTAGAAAACAGAACAGCTTGGTGTGCACGTCTGTCAGGCAGGCACATTTCACTTCATTCAAACTAGAGAGCATACAGGCAGCTACATTTTCTTGTACAAATAGAGCYTCAAATCAGATGGCACAAACAAGGAATACATATCTCCATGCTGCACGTAGGTTTCTATTCTAGTCATGTGAAGCAAAAGCAGAAAGTTAAATGGGGACAGGGACATTTTTTTTCACAGTGTGGCATGCAGTTTTTGGAAAGCACGGTGGGGAATTTTTTTGCAGAGGATGACCTATTTGGAACAATACCAGCAACTTTGGAAATGCCACTCTGGAGTTCAGTCAGGCAAGTAACTAAAGCAAACTTGGGCAGGCAGGAGAAGGAAAGTAATAAAAGAGTATTTCATTTCTGACACTAATGGCCGTGCAGCAATCTGTTTGTTAGAGAACAGGCGAGGTGGAAATCTGCTCTTCATCCCTTGAAAGATAGTTTCCCTGGACKGACTGTGGTGCATTAGCGACTATGCTGACTTCATTTCTTCCCTTTTTTTTGGAGAGTATTGGCTTCTGCAGTGCAGGAGAGGAATGTAAAATGGCAGCTGGAGAGGGAGGTGGGTGGCAGTGTCTTCAGCCATTCTGATGCCACGTGGCACTGCTGCCTTTCCCCAGGATTTTGCAGAGAAGGGTGAGAAGGCAGGTTTGGCAGGTTATCAACTCTGGCACAGAATTTCTGTTTAATGTAAACCAACAGATATAGGATAGCAAGATTCTTACTTTGCTAATAGGTGGGGTCTTAGCACACACTATTAGTGAGCACAAATAAACCCTCCTCTAMACCCATCATTATTTGCAAACTTACCCAGAGTCCAGGATCACTGCAAGGGAAGGGCAGTAACAAAAGCTAACACAATTTCACTCATCACGTGTATTCATCCAGCTATTGCAACTCAGCCACGAGATCCGTGTGAAGCAAAATTTATCCCATAATGTTAAAAATAGTTCTGTCAGTTAAAAGCCTGTCTCGTTCAATGGAACAACACTTATATTTTATTTTACACAGCTAAAGTAACATTTATACAACAATTAAAGCTTACCATTGCTGTAAGACCGAAAATTTCCTACAAATTTTATGTATTCATATGTTGGAAATTCCTTTGGGTTCAAACTTCCTCTCAGAAGATGACAATAAAACTCTAGTTCATTGTCAGCTGGATTGTTAAAAGAAGAAGAAGAAGAAATAAATATACTATTTCAGCTAAACACAACCAACGGCGTCTTTCAACCCCAATCTTGCAACTGGCAGCACAAGAGCAGCTCGTTACCACTCAGGAGTCCTAAACACCAATGTGCTCTACATTGCAGGATCAGAGCCTCTGCARGAAGTGCCTTGCAGGGCTGCAGTTGCTCAGTGCTGTGCACAGCCCTGCCTGCAGCTCAGCCTTGACAGCCTCAGAGATCAACTCGCCCTTATCCAGCACCAACTCATCACATGAGTTACACAGCAACGGGGARAACTGGCTCCTTCACTTACTGCTTTTTGCTATTTAGGCTTCTCACAAATCACAGCTGTTCTACACCTTGTGTTGGGAAAATATGCTCAATTACCTCAAAAWACCTATTAAATGAACTTTGGCATATTAGCTGTCAGCTGCAGGGTTTGTGTGATACATTAGATTAGGCAGCTGTACATGTTACATTATCATCTCGTGTTTCCTGGTTTTCTACATCTTACCTCCTAGGGTGAGTAAGGTCGAGGAAGTAAAAACATTTCTAAGAAAAATGAAATTAAATTTGAAAAAGAATTACAATGGTTTTAGAGATAATTTTTAAGTATWAGGCAAACCAAAGGTACGCCACATTCGCTTATCTCTGAACAACATCTTACTTGAACAGGCTGAAATATCAATTAAGATGTGATTTGTCTCAGGCGAACTCTCAGTTTCCATCGGCTAACCTATTTTCCTTAGCTGTCTCAAATGATATGATATTTAATAATTAACATAACTGCGAGTAGTCTTAGCCTAGTGAAATAAAGGCAAGGAGTTTARTTTAAAAATAGAACCAAAGGGTCATTCCAGGTGGCATGATCTTTTTGAAAGGCTATGAACCTAATTTTTTTAGTGCACATCACAAAATTTTCTGAGAGAAAATTTTTTATTCTGCTCATGCTTTTTCATTTACTAGAGAAGATAAAATAGAACTTACTTTTTAGGTAATCCGATGAGGCAGAATCTGTCATAAGCATACAAGAAGATAACATCTTATAAATTTCTGAATGCTCTTGTTCTGGGAGGAAGTTTAACAAATTCTGATCCAAGACATCACACTGCAAAGAGAAAGAACTTTTGAGACAAACAGAAATAACACAAGCAACACTTGCAGAGTATCCACCAGCACAAGCCCTGCCTCTGGCCAGCTATGAGCTGAATGTCCATGTGCCTCCAGCCCCTCAATCAGCTGGCATGAACCTGAAATCCATCCGAAATCTAGGAACTGAGATTTGGGAATGGAAAGAGGAGACGGATTTGTGCAAAAAGCCATGGCTGGCCCAGGGTGGAGGAGACAAAGAGTCTGTCACGGGCTGCCAAGAGGAAGGGATCCCTGTGCTCAGCATGGTGACTGACCTAACACTAGCAGAGTGTATCCCAAAGGGAGCCTGAGATAAAGTGACCCTCYGATGGCATCGACTTACATCCATCCCACTGGAGACTACCTCAGGCTGAGCTGACACACTGACACAGCTTTGTGTGTCGTCAGAGCAGCTGCTCTCAGACTGTACAGTCATGCTGAAAACATGCAGSCTCTGTCGGAGACTGGCAAGTTATTAACCATCATTTATTTATGTATTGGTTTCCCCTTGCTTTCTACCCATGCTGACTGTTCTGTGTGGAATTCCTGTTTAGAGTAGTGAAATTCATTGRGTAGACTTTAAAAATCAGAGTGCTTTATACACACACACATCTTGATGAGATAATRTATCACATTAGATGATTCAGTTACAAGCAGTTATTACATGTGCTCATCACTTGAATATTCCTTTAATGAAGAATACTTGCAAATTTTTTTTGTGATTTTAGTTTATATCTTACTAATATGAATCCTACTGATACAGTATGTGATAAAAGCTTTTTGTATTTGTATAAATACTTACATATACAAACATTATATTTATATCATAAAGAGATGTTATATACACACATCTACATACACATACTATACTTCACAAAATATAGTACATTGTTCATGTAATTTTATATATGTAATTTTCTTATATGAAGAGCCTTTGACAGGAAAATGCAGCAGTGAGTTTTGCTCAAGGCTTAGGTACAATCTCAGAAATTAATTTTTTTGTTCTCATTCCCTTCCTACCTGTAAATGACAATGATAGCACCAGGTTAATTAATCTCCCATCTAAAGCGCAGTAACTGCAGGAAGACTAGATGTGAGCCATCACCACTCCTCTAACTGAAACTTTTTGTCTCCATCCCGTGACCAAGCTCCAATTCCAAACCTCTGACTAGTTCTGCTCTGTCGCTTCTGTCTGAGGTGATAGCTGCAGGGGCCTGTGACTACATGTGTGGTTGGAATTGCAAGGCACTTTTGTTCCACACACCCCCTCAGAGCAACCTCTTGCCCTGAGCACCAGGYATTAATTGATTTGCAAGTCCTGGTATTTACATTTGTTCCTGCCATCATGTACCATAACCACAATTTAATACTTGGTTTGCATCTTTGCTTGTAGGAAATAGCAACTTTTTTTAAATGAGTTTGAAAAAATGCTAAGGTTTCTACTTTTTACTGTGTTTCACAACTCTTGCCACTTGCAGAGGTTTGGCACACCTGTAAAACTGCACAGAAATGAATTTCTGGATCTGGTACTTATCAAGCCTCCAACCATGCTCTCAAATCAATATGTTAATCCAGAATACATTGCTAAGTCAAACAGAGAGATAGAAGCAAATATTTCACGATCTCACTGGAGCTGTAGAAAATGCCAAGYAAGCTATTCAGAGCTAATTCTGCACCAGACCCAAAGAGCACACATCTGGTGTCATGGCAAAAAGGTGAGTGGTGAGACAGATAGGCTTTCAAAGGGGTCTGGACAGACTGGATCAAAGAGCTGAGACCAATTGTATGAGAGTCCAACAAGGTAAAGTGCCACATCCTGCACTTGGGTCACAATGACCCCGTGCATTGCTATAGGCTGGGGCAGTGTGGCTGGAAAACTGCCCAGTGGAAAAGGACATGGGGATGCTGGTTGGCAGTGGCTGAACATGAGCCAGGGTGTGCCCAGGTGGCCAAGAAGGCCAATGTCATCCTGGCCTGAATCAGCAATAGTGTGGCCAGAAGGACCAGGGCAGGGATTGTCCCCCTGTACTCAGCTCTGGTGAGGTCACACATCAAGTGCTGTGTCCTGTTCTGGGCCCTTCAATTCACCTCACACTGAAGTGCTGGAGCGTGTCCAGAGAAGGACAACAGAGCTGGTGAAGGGTCTGGAGCACAAGCCTTGCAAGCAGCAGCTGAGGGAGTTAGCATTATTTAGCCTGGAGAAAAGGAGGCCCAGGGGAGACCTTATCACACTCCTACAGTTATCTGAAAGGAGGTTGTGGTGAAGTGGGGGTTGGTCTCGCAGGCAACCAGTGACAGGACAAGGGGAAATGGCCTCAAGCTGCACCAGGGGAGGTTCAGGCTGCAATCAGGAAACATTTCTTCAKAAAAGACTGACTAAGCATGGGAAGAAGCTGCCCAGGAAAGTGGTTGAATCACCATCCCTGGAAGGGTTCAAAAAATGAGTGGACACTGCACTTAGGTTTAGTGGGCATAGTGGTATTAGGTCAAAGGATGGAGTTGATGATTTTGCAGGGCTTTTCTGATCTGATTCTGTTGCCAAAATTTGACCATTGGTGATAAAAATGAATCAGAGGGGAATGGTTTGCAACTCTAATTATTCTGCMGTGGGCAGTTCTGTGCCACTGGCTGACACAGCCACAGAGCACAGCTGAACGAAACAGGCAAAGCAGGTAAAAGATAAACYACAGTGACTGTGGGTAGCCTCTTTAGAAAAACTATGTTAATGCACAGTTTTGCTGCTCACCCTGGAATCTACTCTACATTTTCAAATCTATGGATCCTGCTAACTGAAACTTCAGAGTATTCACTCCTGAAAGCCATGGCAGGCAAAGAGCACCTCTGCCTACATAAATGCTGGTCTGTTCTAAATACAATTCATCAAGTTCTGCAATCAGGTGATGCACAGCTGAAGTATTTGTGCTGTTTCAACAAAACAGCTGTACTCCAAAATGGAACTCCTTCCTCATAATTTCATTGCTTTTATTGGGGAGTAAGGAAAAATTCCTGCTGAAGGGAGAAAAAAGCAGAGGARCTAAGCAAACATGGTCACTAGGAAAAGGATGGTGGAAGCCTGCAAATGAGACACATTTCTTTCCCACTAGTGCAGAAAATAAAGATAGCTATGAACTTGTGTGCTGGGATTTGGCCCCTGTATCAACCTGCACACCCTGCACTGATTCCCACTGCAACCCTGCAACAGCAACACAGCATGCACAACTTCAGTACACTGTAAGGTGCAATGTYCTCCATTTCTCCACCCTGACTTTAACTTAAGCACCCAACACAGCAGAGCAAGTCCTTGAGTTTCACTGGGGAGCCCCTGAAGAGAAAGACCTGAAGAGAAAGACCTTCCCTTGGGAGAATCTCAACTGTGCCAGAGACCTACAGGAAAAGCAGGCAAGAAGACCCTTCTGAAGAGACTGCATATTCTTGGAGTCACAGTGTACCATATGACTTGCAAATGCTAGGAGTTGTGATCAGATTTCCATGAGTTCACTTCAGCTAGAGTCAACCCTACCACGTCAACTACAGCTTCTCCACTTCAACTGACCCCAGGAGTAGTCAGAGAAAGTAGCCACATCTTGTTAAAAAAAATAAAATAAAATTACAACACGGGAAGTTTGTGCTTGAAAATGCTCCATGGAAGTAAGGGAAGCTGTATTAAAGAGAACTGGATATATTTGTTCTCARCATTGGAGACTTTCATGATTTTAATGAAAGAAAATACATCAGATTTCTTGATAGGGGCCCTCAGAGAGCCCTGCTCCATGTCCTGCCCAGTTTTGCTTCCCTTTCATTGCTCAAAGCTGATGATTTGCAGAGTATTTTTTCCCTTGTTGTCGCAGAGGAGAAAGAATTGGTATTTTGTCCCTCAAGCAGTAATTGAATTTAGCTTACAAATAGATCCTTGAGGTAAACAAAATAAGCCACATAGATTTTCCAGATAGCACACTGATCAGCTTTAAAACTTTAAAAAAACGTACAGCAAGGGCAACAGAGTACTAAAATACCCAGTGTGCACCTCAATGCACGCTCAGCTGGGCCCCTCCCCACGGCCACAGTGATTTGCCAACATGGGGCAGGCAGAGCCTTTATTCTTGYTCAGTTATGGCCTCTGGGATGCTCCGAGTCCCTCTGCATGTGTGAGCTGGYGGGGCAGTTGTTAACCATTTCCATTCCAACAGCTCCAGGAAGGTCTGCTCCACCTCCAGCCCTGTCAGGTTGGTCCCTGACTTGGACTGCCACGTGCTGCTTCTATGCAAGTGAAAAGTAATGTCCCTCTTTGTCCTTATTTTGGGCTGGATACTRTGTAAGGTTATCATACAAGGCATGTCTTTGGCAGAGAAAACTGTTTTAGTTTCTGATGATCTGGCTCAGGAATCATGAACCTGAATCTATCCATTTTCAGTCAGGGCTTAAGATTTTAGGCACAAGGTCTGAAATGTGTCTTCCTGAAGAGGAATACTTCTCTGCAGATCTACTCTATCCACTAAGAATCAGTATTTGGAAGGAATAACAATAAAACCTCCAAATGATGAAAGACAAGGAAATTTCATGGAAATCAGTRAGTGTATGAAAACCTCACAGCCTGTGTGCAGAGCTCTCCCCACCCCTGACGTGAAGGCAAATGTCAGAAAATAGTCAAGTACTGGTTTTCTCAAGTGCTGAGGATGAAAGAAAATTGAAATGGATAGACTCAGTTCATTCTGTTGTTGYATAGCAATACTTTTGCATTTACCAGGAACTGCTGCCTTTCATCAAGTTCCTTTTGTCTCAGAAGAAAATAATTTTTGTTCATATTCCAGCAAGGTAGTGTTGTGAAATACATTTGTCTGGGTAGAAAACACAACACATATTTGGTGAAAAACTAAATGAGAGAAAAAGAATTGTAATTTTCTTAAGAACATGGCAGGGRGTAGTACAATAATGATTTGGCAGCTGATTTTTTCTCCTGGGCATGCATTTATTTGAGACCAGGATGCTAAAAATGAGTGTGAGGATTAATCCGTAATTATTGTGCCATTTCTCCTAGAGCAGCCTTAGCAACAGGAGCAGGGTTTGGAGCAGTCCCTCTCCCCTTCTCCTCCAGCMCAAGCCAATGCACGTGGGAGCATCTCCCACAGCAGGACCTCAGACAAAAGACTCTGAATGTGCTGGGCTGAGCATCTTTGACCATGTGTAGGGGTGCACCCAACATCGGCTCCAGCAGCCCTTCCTGGGGCWCTCCCCTTGGGAAAGAACAGCTGAGCTGCAGGGAGAGCTCATCAGCAGCCTCTGCTGAACTCCGGATTCAATGGGGTTTTTGTCCTTTACCTCCCTGGGAGCAGATTAAGGCCCTTAACAAGCTCCTCACTGGGCTGCCAGCAGCGCTGGTGCTATTCTCTGCTAGCTTAGAAATCAGAGATGGAAAAGATCAGCCAGGTCACCCTGTCCCTCCCCTGGCCAGACTATTCCTGCAGAGCTTTTTCCATTCACACTGAAGTGCCTCATAGCAACAAAAACCTGAAGAGYATGAATCAGACAGAGATTGTGCAGAGCTGAGCAGCAGCAGCAGCTAGCATAATGCAGGGAGAAACTCCTTCACCACATTTTCAGGGAAACACCACCCCCAGCACCCTTTTACATCTGCTTCTAAAAATGCAGTGCCCAATTCTACAATGTATAGTAGAAAAGCTGATGCCGGAATTACTCACCGGTAAATGCCCTAGAAGAGGTGTGATGCTGTCAGACACATAGATGATGCTTCCACCTGTGGTTACTGCTATAATGAAGCCATCTAATGCCTAAAAAAATCAGACAAGTTGAGAGTGTTTTAATAGGAATGAGTGGTGTAAACAGGACATCTCCTCGTGTGTTGATCAAAACAGTTTGACTTCAGCACCATATTGTTACCGAGTTGTAGGAATGTTATCTCAAGTTGCAGAACAGTAATTCTCTGATTTTACAGTCTGATTTAACTTTTACAAGACTCTTTGTAGTCTAGTAAAACCTACTATTGAAGCAACAAAGGGCTCACAGGAACATTTCATGTCTCAGTTTTTAAATTAATCACACATTTTAATAATGCAAAATGACTAAGACTGGATCCCTTGGAAGTTATTAAAATGAACATTTGAGCTCTGTGTAAATATCAAAGGACAATGAAAAGATGCAGTCCTATCTCAAAATGGTACTTCTCTGCAAACCCCATAAATCTCGGTTTGTATTAATGTAACGTTGTATATTACTGGGCTTTCATGTAAGTAAAAGCAATGCAAATGATCAAATAATCCTCAGCCCAAGTTTTAATTGAGTGATTTATTTTAAAGGTCATGGTATTAGATTACTCATTCCAAGAGAAATTCACCCTTCTGCAGAGTTTCTTGYTCACTTCGCTCCCACCTTGTGCTAAGCCCCTTCACTCCTAGGACTGAAGGGAAATGTCAGCCTTATCCCCACCCTCTGCACAGGAGCATTTTCACCTTCAAAATGAGTCTCTTCTTTGGTCTGAGATGCCAAGTTTTGAGCTAAGTTTTGTTCAAAACTAAACCTAGGTAGATTCTGAGATCTAAAGCAAGATTAACTTAATTTTTCAAGGGATTCTCCTCAGTGAGAACTAAAGCTAGGTGATCTTCAGATCACTCTAAGGAAAACACCCTAAARAGTTWAGACACAACACAGTAGGTGCTCYGAGCACATATTAAAACYTTCCCATTGTCWTTAGGGAGTCACTGGTGAGGCTCCYAATCCTTCAAGTGGAGYAAGTCTGGGTCCTYCCTGTYAATTCSCTGATGTTCTGGAGTSAGCATTGCCAGCAGTATTAGAGCAGCAAAGGCACTGCAGGCACGACTGAATGAGAGCAGAGTTTGACTGTACTGCAGTGGCCATACCTGCTCAGGASACAGGTGTACTGCAAACAGCCTGATCACAGTGCCACAGCGTTACAAAACTATTCTGCAAATCCAGGCTGGCCTCCAAGCCAGATTTGCAGTTGATCTTGTAAGCCACAGCACATCCTTCCCCCCTGCTGACTTCAATAAAGGAAAGAATTCTGAGAATACTGGAAAATGCTAATTGTTTAAAAAAAAAAAGGAAAACACAAAGTCTTGAATAAAGACACAAACATATGTTCCTTTTTCCAGAGAATGCTGAGCACCCACAACTATTTAAGTCAATGGGAATCTGCTGGTGCTTCAATCCTTTGAAAAGCAAGTCAATAACTTATAYCCCAGCAGAAGAGTGTGTGTTTAGCATCTCTGAAAACCCTCCAGCTGCTATAGTTAGTTTGATTTTGTTAATCTAGGTGCAGAGAATATGTTTCTCTTTAGTGCAATACATTCAAGCTGTTTTCTAAAAAAGCTTGATAGCTGTTAACCCGTAGACGAGAGCAGGGGTTTTACAATGCAGTCGCATTGTGCATGTTACTATGGTGAAGGTTGTTAGTTTTTAAAAAATCAAGGCTTTATTTCATATCCAATGCAAATTATACACAGTGACTCATATCAGAATTTTGTGGCAAAATCAAGTTAATGTGTGCATACATAATTCTATTTTTATTTGCTTGCAACTGGACCTTCCAACATTAAGWCAGCATTCTCCTCTTCAAAGGTTTTACTCTTGTATCAGTCCTAGATGGACAAACAGAGCCTAATACCCACTGTAATTTGGTGACAGCCTTTTCAATGGGGTAAGACAAGGCCATTTTCAGGAAAGCTGATATATTACTGCAGTCAATGATGCCTTGATTCTTTCAAATTAGTGCTTGGAAAAAACCCTTCCCATCTTTTAATAAAAGGGTGGGAAAAACTTCAAAAAGTCTTGTCCAAATGATAATAAAATAAGATTAGTAGAAAGGCAAAATAGCAGGGAATGATGAACATCTGGCACAACAGGACATCCCAATTTCCAATGTTATCTCGAAGGGCATGGAAAATCACAGTAGCAAGAATGTGATTTATAAGCTGGGAAACCAAAAGTGATTGCTTTAATCTAAAATTGTGTAGCATACAAGTAGAATCAACAAAGGCCCAGCCTGTCAAAACAATGGCCAATTTATTGCTGTCTGAGGGATATATTTCAGTGCAGACTGAAGGAGTTATGTGTGTTAACTTCCTGTGCACTGAGATGGAAAYGGGCGGTTGTCAGAGCAATGGGAGCAAAGTGTCTCATAAAACTGGTCCAGGAGAGTGTCACCACAACAAATGGCCAAGGGACTGCCAGCCCCTGGGAGCCAGCAACGTGCCCTGGCTTTATGCCTTGGTGGGTGAAGTTAACACACCTCTGTTTGTAAAAATAAAATATAACCTGTGATTTGAATCTTTGCCCTGAACTACTCTTCTTGGGAGTTGCTGCACAGCTTTGCAGGCTGTGGCAGCACAGCACAACAGCACTGCTGAGAGGGAAGAACAACAGGTGGGGACTTTAATCCCTTGTCCCAGTGACAGCTCTGCTTGATGGTCAAATAAGCAGTTCCCAAAAGTTCTCTTTTGGCACTGCAGATGACAGCTTATTTTAAATGCATGAGTGTTCCCATGAGTGCTAAACAAAATCAGGAAAGGTATATACGCATGTTTACCTCCAACATCAGCTGGGTGAATTCTTCATTGCTGAGAAATGAAGGCTTCCAGTCCTGCTGAATTTCAGAAATCTCCGTCTGTGCYGAGACTTCTAGACAAATAAAACATTTACACCTTTAAAATTCAAATTAWCTTCTGCCTTGCAATACTACATATGAGTTGCTATGAAAAGAGCAAAATAACCTTTGTATTAAAAAATTGAAGTTTTCAAGCCTGAAATGTTTTACTCAGTTTTTTCTCAAGTCAACTTGTACTGACTTGAGCGGGAGCCTGTGTTCACAAGCCACTGGCCCCAAGAAACATTAATGGGGTATTGATCAAAAGATAAAACCACTTTGCATGAAATTAAAATCAAGGCAATGATTAGCACATGTCAAATTGCTACTTACAATTTACAGCATCAAAATTAGGATGCTAGAGAGGGTTCAGCCTATAGCTTCCGTGCCAAGCAGGGAACAGCAAGAAAGCCCCTTCAGAGGAGCCCCAAAGGGTTGTGACCCCAAACTGCAGAGCTATTGCTCTGTTTTCAAAAATGAGAGTGAGACATGAACTTATGCAGCAACTTTACACTGGTGCTGCCACCACTCTCTCCCATGCTCACCTTCAGCCACATAGTGCAGGGCAGCCCAGGAGAAGGAATGGAGCACCAGCATCTCATCCCAAATCCTGTCTGGAGGGCAAGGTCCCCTGTGCTGTCAGAGGAGATCTGTCCCACTGTTGTGGGGGTTCAATCCTGACCCCATGGCAGCTGCAGAGGGCTCACTCCCTGAGGGCTTCCCACGGAGGGATGCAGGCACACGGGATAGCAACTCAGCTTTGCACTGAGCCTGGGGACCATCCTGGATAACYGGCTGCACTGCTTTCCTTTGGAAAACAATCAGTTATGTTAGCTCCACCTGAGTCAGACAGGATTCTGAAGGACAGCTCTTATCATTCAAAGAAACTTGAGCTGGTTTCATTTGCTGCTCACTCTGCTTCTCTAGAAKTGCTCCCTCACTCAGCTCCAGTAGTGAGGGGATGGTGAGCACAGACTGTCTTCTCTTTTCAGCACCTCCTGCTAATTAATCCTATTGATTAACACTTCCAGTGCATGTAACACCCAATGTTCAATATTCAGAACACATAGGCAAAATGGCCAGAGAAATGCAAACAGATAAATGATTCTAAAGACAGTAAATTTACACGAGTGCCTGTGCATTTTGTCACYGAGAAAGAAATCAAAGCCTCCGTTCAAGCTGTGTTAGGGGAGATGCAGCGTCTGCTTCCACCAGCTTGTTCAACTTGCTCTCTGCACTGCTGGGGGCTGGCACTGGCAGCACAACTCTTCACAACCCCAGTGGTTTTACACACAGGTTTGAAAACCAGACTAAGGAAAAAGAGTCCACCAGTTTTTTTAGGTAGTTTCAGAATATAGGATACTTTCAGCAGATCTGTAGATTAGAAAAGCTAACATACATGAAATGGTGATGGAAGAATTGCTTGAGATTTAGGAGATTCTGTGGATTACAAAGGAGGCTCTTTATGAAGGAGAAAATCTGAGAATTGACCTCTTCCTCCTTTTATGACTAAAATCTTGGTCTAGCCTACCAAACGAAAGGGAAATATGACTGAAACCAGAACCAAAATACGCTGAAGACAATCAACATTTTAAAATGCTGATGCTTTGTATTATATTGTGTGACTACTAATCTGGTTTAAAAATAGATAACATATGCTTTTTTTAGCAAGTGCACAAAATCCAGTCACATTTTGACCCAGTTGCTGTGGAAGGACTTGYGACTGATAGCTTTCCTTTACCTAGCTGTTCTTCGAGAAAAAACACCTATTGGAGTAATTTATTTGGACCATCAGCAACACTTGTACACTTATTCAACTCTTGTGTGGTTGTTCTTTGCTCAGCTTTATAATTGAGCTTTGCAATCTTCCTTTGCCTTGGGCAGCTAAAAAAAAAGGTAAGTTATTACTATAATTTTTTAACAAACGTATACAACTATTAAATTTGAGATGTATTCCCCTCCTGTACAAAACCATAGGTTAATGGTTGGACTCAATGGTGTTAAATGYCTTTTCCAACCTAAATGATTCTATGATTCTGTCACTCTATCTTGTCTGCGGCAAAAATTCATTAAAGGAGACACTGCACTCTATTGACAGAACCATCATAATTATTTTTCTGTAAGATTGACATTTGTGACTCCATTCTGTTGGGAGTCATGATATTAGAGTTTTCATGRTCTTTTCTGTTACACATTCTCCGGAGAGCGCAGGAGGGAGGTGCTGCATGAGCAAAGATAAGCCAGGTGATGTAGTGCATCATCTTGTAGGTCACCTTTCTGCTTTCTGGGTTCAGGGGCACTCCCCAGTGTCACCCACTGAACCCTCTTCCTCACTGGGGCAGAGCAGGAGCAGTCCATTTTAAACYAGTGCCTGATTTATAAGGGAGAAGYGTTTCAACTGACCACTGCTGGTGGGTGTCAAAGCATCAGGAAGAGCACAGTGCATATTCCTCCCACTGAGTAGAAACAAGACCAAAGAGACTTGATCAGCAGGGTCAGAAATCTCCTCTGCCCTCTGTGAAGGYACATTTCTATATTTCTAACTGTCACTGGTGCAAGCATTTTACAAAATAAACTCCTGGCTTTCTGATGCTGAACTTGATTGCTGTAACTGGATGTTGTGCACCTGTGATGAAGCTTCTGTTTGGGCAAACGGGGTGAAGCATGTCAACTATCTGTGGATGCAATTTGCTGATGACAGCTTCAAAAACCGAGGTGCTTTCTGGTCTGAGTTCTCTGCTCAATGTGGAAAATTGAGTTCTACACAGTCCACTGAGGAGCCAGGCTGCTGAACAGATTGCTTCCCAGCATTTTTTCTGCAGAGAAGCTGGGGCAAATGCTTTGTTCTTCTGCTCAGAATATGGCAAATTTCAAGGATGGGAATCTTTCCTCTGCTCCCAAATCTCTCATTCAAAGCACCTCTCTTCTTCATGAGTGCTGCAGGGCACTATTACCCTCTTTCCCTTGGTTCCTGCCATTTGCCCCTTTTTCTAGCAAGTTGAGAGTCATCTTCAGCTGAAGAGCAAACAAGGAGATGGATTTGGGCAGCACGGTGTCTGCAAAAAGATCTCTTTTGATGAGACAGAAAAAACCTCAAATACCTTATGTTGGCACTTTTAGGTCCCTGGAGCCATTCTGATAATCACTGAAGGAAATGGGATATTACAAGGAGCTGTGTGGCAAGCACACRAAGAGCTGCAGTAAACCTTACCATTGTGTTTCTGCAGAAAGCCAATGACTTTTTCCAGCACAGTAGTTTTGTCCATTTTGCGAGTGTTGCCTGGAAGCATGGAGCTGAGCTCTTTGATGAGAACATTGAACTGATCACGCCTCTTCTTCTCAGACTTGTTACGTGAAGCCCTGTAGACAGGGAAAAAGAAAAAAGGATGAGCAGAGCAAGAGAAAAAATGATAGTGTACCTGCTCTTTGCAATGTATGTATACACATAAAATCAGCTTGCTGCATGCGTGAAGATTGACACTGGACTCCAGCAAAGCTGCACAGGCAAGTAGGAGGCAACAGTTCCCAGCTCCTGCTCTTGTCTTTGATCCACCTTTAGTGCCCAGCAGGGAGATGGAGGCTCTGCTCACTCCTCTGTGCTGCCTCTGGACACTCTGGTTGAGATTATCAGGTCAGCATTGCGATGGCAGTTGAAGGAGCTCTGTCCATCTCCTAGATATATGTAAGATGTTGAAAATTCATGCAGTCTCTGGGGAGGCACTCAGAGYGAGAAGAAATAGGAATACTGTGACAACAGTAAAATTGTCCACAAAGCAGAAGAGTGGAGAATGGATCATACCCATCCRTGCAGTCTCAACAAAAGAGAGGGATCTGAGCTTGGTTCATCTAGAGGGACCTGGCCACTTTGGTCACAGGTGCTCTGCCCACCTCCAGACTGGCACAGAAGAATCAGGATGTTGTCTTCCAGTCGTTAATATTAGAGATCTGAGTAGAAGTTGCTGCAGCTCCCATCTGTTCATACGAGACTTTGTTCAGTCTCCTTTTCAAGGATACAAGGACAAGCAGGAGAGAGGGCATGGGCTGGGTCAGAAGCTGGGATGTGTTGCTAGACCTGGGTCTTGGAAGTGCCATCAGTGCTTGCCCTTAATTTGTTTGCCACCAAGAAAATCACTTAATGTCAGTGCCCCGAGTCTTTAGATGTAAAATGAAGACTCTCCAGCTGTCTTCAGCAGCCTTGTCTGTTTAGCTTGCAGATTCCTCAGAGACAGCCTGCTTCTGCTGTTGTGTTTGAAGATCTCACAGGAAGAAAGGATCTGATTTCATCTGGGGTGTTTTGGCATCATTATAATACTGTCATTAAGGCTGTTTATGATTTTTTTCAGCATGCACACTTTGTTATTTTTTAAACTGCAAGTTAATTTGTACACCAGCATTTTCTGACTTGTTCCCATGAACTTGACAATTGCTCAACTTGGAGATTATCACCTGGACTTCTGTGTCCATGTGGAAATAGAAGCAAGTATAGCCCAGTAGGTTTGTTTGTTCTTCTGAAAGGTCCTCAAGCAGACGAGATTTGCCTTGTCAATTACGTAAAGATCTAAAAATCTGGTTACATGTAGATGGGAAAGAAAAGCCAAGAGGCGAGTTCTCACTCTGAGTTTCTCAGTCCCAGCTAACTCTGCTGTGCCTCAAAGCAGCTCTGGATGCTGAAAATCAGAGCACAATTTAGCCCAGCATCTACATCCCCTGCAAGGACCAGGATGGCAACAAACATTTTCAGCAGATGAATCACTACAGAAGCTTCTGGATGTTACTACTGACAGAGGGGTAATTTTTGTTTGTCTTGCTCTCAACCCTGAACACACTTGGAGATACACTGGACAGAAGCCAATGCTTGATTWTTTTACAGCTTTGAACACAAGAGATTGGGTGGATACTGCCTGACTGATTTCAGCTTGCTCTTATTACACTGCAAAAGGCTGTCAGAACAAGATGTGAAAAGCTCCGGCCTTATCCTATTTCTCTACAGTTTGGGGTGACGTTAAGATTATCAACATTTAACTTCCTCATAATTCAATCCTTAGTTCATTTTAAGCTTAAAAAGTCCAGATTTCCCTGAAAATAAAATAAACCACCAACTGTCAATAGGGAAGGTGTTGCTATAAAAAAAAAAAAAAAAAAAAAAAAAGGAAAAAAAAGGAAAAAAAAACCTTGACAGAAATGAAAAGTATCTATTTTTTAACACTTGACATTTTATTCACAAAGGAAATATAAAAACTCCTCTAGTGGAAATAACTCTACCAAGATATGAATCAATGATCACAGTAAAATTTTGAAAAGGAAAAAAAAGGGAAAAAATGGGAAAAGAAAAAGATAAAAACTATCCCTGCACAGTAGAAAATACTTTGTTTAGTACAGTTATAAATATATAAGAGTTTTCATTACTTCCCTTTGAAGATTATTTCCTGGGCTTGCTTACTTCACTKCTAGGGCACACAATTACAATAAGCCCAAACAACCTCTGTCTTAATTCCATACTACTTGTCCCAGTTCTCCTCCCTCCTTGCTACTCCACAAAATTTACAGCATATTCAAGGGGAAGGAGAAGACACAGTATGAATAAAATCGGGATTTTTAGTGAATACAGCTAAAGGCAATACAGGAAAGCCTGAATTCAGAATGAACAAAATCAACAATTTAACAGTCATTTTTATTCGCTTACATATATGCTGCTTGTTGTCTTAGACAGATACTGACTGACTAGTAGACACTACATTTTGCTAATTTACAATGAAATGTGACTTTACACTAAATTTCAGACTTCTTTTGGCTGTCCAGTGGAGTGTGTTATATATGCATCAATGCAAGTAACTGTAYCACATACCTTCATTCAGATTCTTAAATTTACTTTTTATTTCAGTGGAAAATGGCAGGTAGTAGTCTTCATGATTAAGCACTTTCTCATGGTTCACTTCAAGCTGGTTTTGGTTGGAATTTGGAATTCAACTGAATTGCAAAAAAAGTATTTTAAAATTATATACTATTAAAGCAAACTGAAAGAAGAGCAAATAGAGAAAAAAGTGCACAAAGCACACCTTTTGTTTAGAATTAATAAATCTACAAAACAAAATAAACCTCATCTAGCATCGAAGAACTGAAAATGAAACTATGGCTTCTGATCTCAGAAGATCAGAAAGCATCACACAGGTCTTTAATGCTCCCAAGTGTGGTGCCATCATACCCACACTTTCATCACCAGGTCTTCAGAGGGGAGTCGTGCCTTAGGGGGCCCGACAATGCAGATCAGGGATCAATTTAACCACCATTCTTCCTCAAGGAAGAGTTATATACCTTGGCCAAATATTAAACACATGGCACAAGGGTGGGAGTGCAAAGTCCTTTTCTCAGGAGAGGATGGATACTTTTTTCATGTTTGTATAGTACAACCTGTACGTGCCTAATAAATTGCAGCAGATATATATTGTGTGTATGTGCATCTCTACACATACCTAACCTGAGAAACCCAGCTCCTGGCTTGAGTCTGTCCCCAAAGACTTAGATCCAGAAATTTCCAGTCTCACCTACTTTTAACAGATTAAATAAAAGGAGAGAACAATTTCCTGGATATTTTAATCCCCTCTGGTGTTTCTCAGCCCAGATAGACCCAGTCCTTATACCAAATAGAGGGGRAAAAAAAAGCATTTCCCTTTTTGTACAGGACAAGTGAGAATCCTCAGTTTAAAAGACACAGCAGCAAAATATTCATCAAACAGCTTCTCTTAAGTTTAACCCTCTCTGTAAGAAAACCTGTAGCTTTTAAATAAATTTGAATGGTTTCAGAATGGTGTATTAACTTCAGATCTTCATGAAGCATCTCATGCTTTCAAACTCAATTTYAACTTTAGCATTATTTCTAGAAACCAAAAGGAACTTAAACGAWAATTTGAAGAAGCAGTTTCCTTTTTTAATTTTTGAAGTTATAATTTTTTTAATGCACCCTGATAGAGGCCTGCCCCAGGATATGACAAAAATTCCCTCTGGGAACAAACAGCACGAAAACCATACCAGATGGTGATGACAATCGCCGATAGCGAGGATASGTGTTATCCTATTTTTTTCATATATGCATTCATTTAATGCATTTTTTCTTTACTAACCAATTAGCACACAAATATCCTGATGATGACCAGGCCTTCAGCAGGGGAAGCAATGCTGCAAGGTGGGCTCCCTTCTGCACCCTCCGAAAGGAAGCAAAGGGGAATAGCTGAGCCTGGCTGCAGCCTGTGCTGACCTATATTGGTGAGAAAAAGCTGCGGGGAGGGAAAGAAGCGGAGAAGGAATCAAAGGAGATGAAACTGGATCAACTGCTTGTGCCTGGACTGGAAATACTCTCATTAGAGGGAACCAAGGGGAAAAATGTGGGCAACCCCTGGYTCTCTCAAAAGTAATTAAACTGCGGGCTGAGGCATTGATAACCTCGAATGCTTCCAAACTGCTTTTCTGCAGATGCTGGTCAGCTCTGACAGTTATTAAGAGTTTCATTGCCACAGGTCTTCTGCCTTGAAACACACCTTTTCTCTTCCAACAAAGGGTTCACAATGAATTCCCACCACCTGGGACTCGATGGAGTGCAGACTGTATATGAATGTAAGTTGTGCCAGTTTAAAGCTGACTTTTCGTGGTCTTTCTCTGCTCCAAAGGTAACTTCTGGGTGTTTTCATTGCTGTGAGATAGGCATTGATGAATAAATGACCATTCTAATAGGAAAAAACCCCCACTTTTTTATTTCTTTTTCTTTTGCAAAACGTATTTAAAGAAAAAAATCACTRCATTTTTGTACACTGTGGAAGCTCAGATGATGTATTATAGTGGCAGAAGTATGTTGTTGGTGCTTCAGTTCTGATGTTCTGCAGTAATGTGAAGAAAACGATCAATGCCTTGGCTTTTTTAACATTTTCCACAGGAAACATTGCTAGGTTATTTTCTTCTTACAATGCAGCCAAGATTAGGAGTCTGTGAGATGGCAGTTTTTTCAAGTTGTGTTTGATTGTATTTTACTCTCTTGCTCTTTGATTAATTGATTATGGATAAAACAGCTTCTGCAGCAACAAACAATATCAAGCTCATCACAGAGAGTTATAAAAGAAAATATGCTCACCTCTTTGCTCTGTCTTTCTCATCTTCATCCATTAGATTGTCTAAGCAGTTTTTTCTGTTGAAGGAATGCAAGAATCATTATGAATTGTCATTTTGTTAGCTCTACTTGCAGGTTAATCTCACASTCACTCTATTTCATTCTAATAACACAATGATGATATCCAGGTCAGATAAATGTGTCAGCAGTGCTTTATGCCACAGTCCTTGATTTTAGGAAATATCCATTGTGGGTAATATTATTCCTGAGTATTATGCTAGCCTTGGGGTCACTAGCCAGGGATCAAGGCTCCCAGGCATCACGCGGTGCATCAGCACAGTACAAAAACAGCCACTTCTTGGGGATGTGAAGGTTACTCTCTACAAACTTGTAGGCTGGATGATCCTGGGGTCTCCTCAAGCTGAAAAGCATTTTCACTGCCCCCATGCTCCCCCCTCAATCTCCAGTGCAAGAACCAGCATCACTGATGCCTTTGACTTCTCAGGCTGATCTTCTTACYGAGAGACACTTCATCCTCCTCTGTGGACCTTGATCCAAAGCCAAATGAGATGGCAGTAAATCTACTGAATCACACCTCAAATTCAAAGTATCCTTATAAATCCCACTGCCTAAGCCACACCAAAAAAACCCTCTTGCAGCCCAGTCAGACCACCTGCCCAGGCATAGGGACTATGGCATCCCCATCATTTTTTTCCTTAATGTTCACCAAAATGTTGTGGCATCAGCTTTGTAGTTCAATTGCTCCAGCAGTTTGAGCTGTAAGGAGAAAAGGGTAGATTGGGTAAATTAAGTGAATTTGCGTAGGCAAGGCAAAGGGAAAAATACAAGTACAGCCCAGCTGAAGGCTGAGTGCCTCAGAAAAACTTGTCAYCAGCTCACTGCCTGCTCTCCTTTGCTCCATGGCCTCATGAGAAAGTGATGCTTGATCTGTGTGACCACTTCAGCCTGAGAAAGGAGCCCTGTGTTGCTGCATCTCTCATGGCACCGGGCACCCCTGTTGGGTACAAACTCTGTGTGCTGCTGCATCCTACACAAATTTTTCTGAAACAGCAGCACAATGTCAGAGGATATTGCCAAAGCCTCATTTTCAAAGCAGTGGTGTAATGACAGGCGATGATAACACTCTTTTTCAGCAATCAATGTTTTTCATTTAATGAGTCCTCAACATGTAAGACACGAATAAAATTGGAGGGGAGGAGGAGGAAAGTAAATTGCTGGGCTTTATTTAARCCCATGTTATTTTCCACACATGAGTCACACACAAATTTGCCTGTTTAAAGAACGTTCTATGAAAAAAAAAGTGAAAAAGTAATGATAGTAAAAACAGTGCTTCTGTTAGTAGTTCTCTTACAGCAATATTCTCCTGGTCTTTACTCAACAGTTAGCTACAGAAACAAAACAACCCCATAACTCATAATCGAATGAGTTGTGAGGAATTAAAGCCACTGATCACTGACTGGAGGGTAAAACTACTACTTAATGGCATTCAGCTCATTGATGAAGCATAAATAGGAAATGTGAAGGCCAAGGGACTAGCTTTTTTAGTCATAACTTGTGAATTTAAATTGCTGAATTCCATAAACAGAACAAAGTAACAAATAATACCATGTAGTTTTAAGATTTTTTTTCAGATGTTTATTTGGACTTGCCAAACATCCATAGTCAGCCATGACTTTTGATTTTTAAGTCAGCCATATCATAATCCATATTTTGGACTAGGAAAATGTATAGGCCCAGCAAAATTTCATTAACCAGTGTTTTATATATACTTTAGGTGTTTACTTGCTTRGTCCCATAATGAAACTGTTATCCCAATCAATGTGTTTTCAAATAATTTGGGCTAAAATGTAGTGACAATATTCAGTGGGTTTTGTTGTTATCTGCTCACTTATTGCAACCTATGCTATTCAAGAATACGGAAGGCATCAGTAACATGGCAAGGGTTAGCATTTAGAATTTTGCAGTGTTTCTTTGCTAGACCTTTGCTCAAAATCATAGAATCATAGGACGTTAAGGGGTAGAAAGGGACATTAAAGATCATCTAGTCCCACTGGTGGGAGGACACCTTTTACTAGACCAGCTTGCTCAAGGCCTTATCCAACCTGGCCTTGAACACTGCCAGGGTTGGGACATCCATAACCTCCCTGGGCAACCKGTTCCAGTGTCTCACCACCCTCACAAGACAGCACAGCACAGCACARAACAGCACAAAATGTTCTGTTGCATGTACCCTTGTTGAATCTAGGGTAATACMATTGAACTGGGGCAGTATCAGCAGAAGGAGTCCCTCTCCCTGAATCCCTAAAGGTCTTCCTCTGCTGCACTGAGGCTTCCTCTGGTTGTAACAGATTCCCGACAGAAAGCAGGAATATTCAGACAAGTGTGCTGAGTGAGGAAGGGTGAGGGTGGATGAGACAGCCAGCATCAATGCTGCTCAGCCCTGGCTGCTCAGGAGAAGCACAATGTACCTTACAGAAAGGGGCTTGCTACAGCTGTACCCCGTAAACTATCAAAAAATTACACTGCCAGGAAGTCTCTACTCTTGAGAGAGAGAAACAGATCTAACTGGTTTGTTCTGCCAAGGATTTGGCTAGATCTGTAAAGCAATCCATGGCCAGCTTCCAGTAAACAAGGTTTTTCAATGACTGACATGAAATTCTGGACCCGCTGTGCTGGTGCTAGCATGAGACAATATCTAATTGTCATTTTGCTTCTGTTTGCTCACATGGCAAAATCTCTAGAGCATCATAAGCATTGTTAACAGGGTTTGCTAGTACACATGTACCATATGAAATTAAAACTGTTCTCAATAAAATAGATACATCAGAGTATACAACTGCTGCAAACTGGTTTGCCATCCCTCTCCTGAGCCCCACCAGATGCTGCCTTACACCTTGATGGGAAAACTCATAGCATGGACCTTAGGTATGTCCTTAGTGCAACTGGCTTGTTATCTTTGTTATCTTCCCAGTCCCTCAGATGGGAATGTCTCAAACTGCAAACTGGAAATCTACTGTCTGTCTCATCCCTGTCAGTGCCTGGTTTAGGAGAAAATTCCAGCTCAGTGCAATGATGGAAACAGGCAGTAAACACCAAAGCTCTGTGTCACAATTCCCCTGCAAAGAAGTGACATAAAAAACCAAGTGGCATGAGGATTTCTCAAAATGTGAAGAATCCTTTCATGATAACAAAAGGAACTTGGAAACCTATAGGTAACAACACCAGATGATGYAGCTCCTGCTGACAGAGTATTTAACAGTGGCTTACATTCAGAGCTTCATTAATATCATCATTGTCATCAGGGAGTGAAGACTACCACCCAAAAAGATGGGAACTACCTGGAACAAGGAGGAGAAAGCTCGTGTACTCCACTCAGGGTGGTACTCAGACAAACACACAGAAAGATGCATAACCACAAGTGGGGGAGAATGGYATTTTGGAAACAAAAGACTGGCTAAAACTGCTAACCATGTACCCCTGGCTTAGTTATCAGATGGAAAATTATAACAAAAACATCCCCCCCACTTTCATTCATACAATGAATAGTTGCTTGGGAAAGAAGTAATTCCGGCAGAGTGCCAGCTCTCTCCAGGGACTCTCCAGAAGAAAGGTTCCACATGTTTATTTTGATACACTCTATTCCCAGTGGACACAGAGCTTGCACTATAAAAAATCATCTGGCACTGATCACCTTATCCTGTGCTAGAAACATGTTTTTTAGTGAGCTAAGCTACTACTTTTACGTGCTGGCAAGGTTGGTTTCACTCTTTCCTGCCCTACTGCTCATAAGGATATGCTGTAGACACTCAAAAGTAGGTAATCAGTTGCTGATTTCACATTTAGTTGCCAAAAGGCCAGCTAATAGTTCCTACAAAWCAGCCTGATATTTAAAGGATTTTTAATCATATTAATTTAACCCAGCTGAATTAAATCAGAGATGTAAATTCCTTTCAGAAGTCCTGAGACGTGCCTGGGGGACCCTGGTGAGAAATCATGGTGTTTGTGCTCCCCTGGCCCTTATGTTTGGCAACTTGAGGAAAAGACTGGGCTTTCCTCCTCTTCCCTCTCTGTTTCCATCACCCCACAGGTCTGCTTGGGTATCCTACCACTTGTCCTGTACAGGTATGGTCAGCCCTGGGGAGAGGAGTGCTCCCACCCACTGCAGACAGACCAGACATACCTTACAGCTCAGACCTCACCCTCAGACTGCTTGGGATGCTTCTACAATTCAACCATCCTAATTAGCAATGATATTGCACTTGGAGAACAATCCTCTCAAAGACAGGGGATGGGCAAGGTTTGTATGGAAAACTGGGATGATGGGATGAAACACCTTGAAGTACCTTCTGACCTCTGGGCAGACCCTTCCCAACAACTGCTATCTTTGTGAAGGAGGAAGGACAGGARCAACAGGGTGTAGGGCAGACATGCTCCCATGCCTTCCAGTCATATTGCTCCAGTGCCCGTCCCTGCTCAGCATTGCTTCTGCTCTGCCTCAACAGGGAGTTACTCTCCTGTCCCCCCTTTGAAGGGGAGGAAAARGTTAGAAAAGAGATCAGTGTTATACAGGAAGCACATGGGTATGTATGGTGGGGGTCAGGATTTAAAGGCCAGATCCAGCCATCTATGGCATCGTGTGCTTAGTGAGTAGGATCTAAGACACAGGAAGAAGGCACTAAAAGAGAGCAGAGGCCCTGGAGCACAGTTTCTGGCCACCCCCCAGCACATGGGACAGTGTGGCTTCGTCGCTGCGCTGGCATCGCTGCCAGGTGCCCTCCCCAGGGATGATGAACAAGGTCTGATGGGCACTRTGGTTGGTCAATGGCATGGTCCCAWGGGTGTTCCACAGCATGGGTTAGATGGGGACTTGTCCTCCCTGGGCAGCACCTCTGTGGCTAGGAACTCTACCTGCTTCATCTCAGMTAAGCAGAGCTCTCCAATGAACCACTCTAACAAGTGAAGTGTTCCCCTCCCAAGCCTTACTGAAAAGCAAAGAGAAAGATCAGCAAATGGGAAGTGGTAGGAAARGTCACAGGGTGACAAGCAAGAAGTGACCA